GAGGAGATGTGATGGCCAATCACCTGACAGAGTTCCCAGAACACCACTGCGTCACGAGGACACATCAGGGTATCACACACTTGATAGGATTCCTATCACTGCAGTGAAGGACGTGACAACGTAAAGACAGAACCCTGTTTGTTGTTTCAGAGCTGAATGTCAACGGAAGGGAAGCACAGAACCAAGAACCACCTGACAGGTGAATGTTATCATTAGTAAATGATGTCATCAGTGATACTCAACTTCATGCACTCACTGAACATTGGCTCCTTCAAAGTAAAAGCCCATCACGAGTGAAATGATCAGATGGTAAGGCGGTTATTGTGTAGGTGCTGCAGGCTAACCTGTTGTTTCTGTTTCTTTAGATGTTTTCTCACTAATTTTGTGTCTCAATCTCTGAACTTTTGTGCAGGAACTTTTTAACAAAGAAAAATCCTCTTAATCCTTCTACTCTCGACCGCGTCTGCTGAGACGTCTTCTTCTGCTGTCTCCTTCTGGTCCTGCACAGCCAGTGACTCGTTAGATCCTATCACTGTTAACTGTTATTGTCCCCCCCCAGCGTGACATTGTCTGCAGGTCAGGGGGGTGGAGCCTTCATCCCCATTCACCTCCTCCCCTTCGGTCAGACCTCCAGTCTGCTGTCTGTCAGACACCACACCTCCCCCTCCCCCCTCTCCTCCCCCCCCGCCATGACCATCAAGTTCCTGGGGCCCCGCCCACAAGCTAATCAGGTGAGCAGATCACTTTTATTACCAATTTATTTCTGTTTTATTGCAACAGCAGGATGTTCTAATAGTCGGAGATACTTTTTTATACAACCGCTTTTCATTCTTACAAATAGTTATACAACTTAAATCTCAGATCATTGTTTTAATTATACGACTTTAATCTGAGAATATCCTAATTTATTTTTCCTCATGATCATATGACTTTAATTTTGGATGATGTCATTGTAATCTCACATGATATATTTAAGAAAACATTTTTTTTGCTATGACTGTAACCGTGGATGATGTGGTGTCGTCAGGGCTCCCTCGCCCCCCTGTCGGCCTCCCAGCTCTCCGTGGTCCTCTCCTCGCTGTGTCACGGCCTCCCTCAGGCCTCCCTCCGCTCTCACACGTCTCCTCTGGAGGTGTGCTCGTGGATCCAGCAGCAGGAGCGCCGCCTGTCGGACAGGAAGTGGGGCTGGAGGTCCGAGGGACTCGCCCAGTGGGTGTTGGTTCAGCGCGAGCAGCAGCTAAACCTGAGCGAAGGCGTCCTGCTGCGGGCGGCGAGGAGCGCCCTGGGCGAGGACAGCCCGCTGGCGGAGTGCTACAGCTGGACCGTGGACTTCCTGCTGAGACACGGGCTTGGTCTGCAGACCGCCAACAAACGCCAACGAGGAAGACTACCGAGGAGCATCAGGGACAACAGCCGCACCTTCACGCGGTCCCTTCTCACGCAGGTGAGCTCCTCTGTGGAGAAGTACTCAAAGTATCACTACCACAGTGAAGATGTGCAATTAGTTGAGTTTGACATGATTTGAAGGACGTGGTTGTGTTTGTCCCCCATCGGTATCAGTGGGTGGGCTCGTAACCCTCCTATGGGGCCGCTAGCTAACCTCACTGAGGAAGCCAATACTTCTGATCGTGGCCACCTGACTGCTGGGCTCATGACGTCATAGTTTCACTCAGGAGCTCAGAACTCAGAAGTTTTCTTCTCACATGATGAGTTCAAGGACCGTTTTTGCAGCTGGTACATGCTGTTGGTTCCAAGTGAAGTGAAAGAAGGTATGTTGTTATGGTGATTGTTCCTCAGATTCAGGGCAGAGGGGTTCCTCCCCACTGTGTGGGCTCCATGGACGAGTTCTCCATCTTCGTTGACCTGGACCAGTTCTCCAACCAGAACCCGTCGGCCCTCCGGCTGTCCGGCTCGCCCACAGACCGCCCCGCGTTCGACGTCGTCCTCTCCGCTCTGTCCGACGGGACCTTCCTGCCACCGCTGCTGTTCTTCAGGGGGGGGGCCTCGCGGGTTCCCGAAGGGTTCCCGGACAACGTTCTACTGGAGGCTCGACGGGAAGGGTTCACAGACCAGGAACGTCTCCGCACCTGGATCAACAAGGTCGGACAGCCGCTCTTATTGTGAAAATCCCCCACGGTTTGTCTCCTTCCCGTTGACCAGGCAACGTTGTGTTTACCTTGTTGCAGGTGTGGCGCCCCCGTGTGGTCTTGGGGTGTAACAGAGAGACTGTGTTGCTGGTGGACGTCCATCGTGGTCACCTGACGGACGAGTTCAGGGACAGTTTGAAGTCTCAGGCCACCGGCGCCGCCTTCATCCCGCCAGGCTGCTGCTGCCGCCTGCAGCCGCTCGACGTCTGCCTGACGCCGGTGCTCAGAGACTTCCTGCAGGTACCTGTCCCACCCCCTCTGTCTGATCTGTCCCATCTGTCCGGCTCTGTCTCACCTGTCCTAACCCTGTCCAATGTGCTGCTGTATTGATCAGGCCCGGTGGACTCAGCTGGTGTCTGAAGGAGGTCTGGAAGGTCTCAGTCTGGACCAGCTGGCTCTGACTTTGGCCTGTTGGCTCAGTGAAGTGTCCTTCACTCTGAACTCTGAGACGCATGTCCTCCGCAGGTCTCCTCACTCACACACACACATTTATATCCACATTTATTTATACCACACCTGCAAAATTGTACCTTTTCTGCAAAATCTGCCGTTTTGAAATCAGAAAGGTGTGTACACGTCTTCTGTGGTCCCTACTGACACTGGTCTGCGTTGCCATGGCAACTCCTCAGGTCGTTCGCGTTGGTGTGTAGCCTTCAGGAGGATCGAGGGGAGGCGGCGACAATGATCGCAGCCCTGACTGAGGCGCTGGCGCCTCCGGAGACCCCCGAGCGTCGGCCAGCACCACAGCTGGAGCTGCTGCTGGTGATGAAGGAGGAGGTGGAACAGCAGCCTGACCAGATGGAAGTCCCTGGGGAGGAGATGGAGGTCAGTGAGAAGGTGGAGCAGCACCCTGGGGAGGAGATGGAGGTCAGTGAGAAGGTGGAGCAGCACCCTGGGGAGGACCTTCTTCTGACCTTTTGAACAGCGTGTGCTGTGTCACGAGTCACTTCCTGTTCTATCATTCAAAGACGCTTTATATTGTGACAACTTTTAAACAAAGTTCTCATGTTTTCTTAAAATGCATAAACCAATGAACTTTGGATGACCTGTGACCTTTTGTTTGGTCTGTTAATAGTTTCTATTTTGTCTTTTGTATGAGTTATGATATTTTACACAAAAATAAAACTGGAAGTATTATTTGTTTTTCCTGTGTAGTTAATGAGTCACTGAACGCCTGAATACAACTTTACGTTTTATGTAACGCAGCAACAGCTGCTCCAAATACGTCATCCATGTGAATCGTATACTCCTAGTACTACATGAAGCAGGGTCTGCTGGTGTACTAGTACTACATGAAGCAGGGTCTGCTGGTGTACTAGTACTACATGAAGCAGGGTCTGCTGGTGTACTAGTACTACATGAAGCAGGGTCTGCTGGTGTACTAGTACTACTAGTACTACATGAAGCGGTCTGCTGGTTTACTAGTACCACTAGTACTACATGAAGCAGGGTCTGCTGGTGTACTAGTACTACATGAAGCAGGGTCTGCTGGTGTACTAGTACTACATGAAGCAGGGTCTGCTGGTGTACTAGTACCACTAGTACTACATGAAGCAGGGTCTGCTGGTGTACTAGTACTACATGAAGCGGTCTGCTGGTTTACTAGTACCACTAGTACTACATGAAGCGGTCTGCTGGTTTACTAGTACCACTAGTACTACATGAAGCAGGGTCTGCTGGTGTACTAGTACTACATGAAGCGGGCTGCTGGTTTATTAGTACCACTAGTACTACATGAAGCAGGGTCTGCTGGTTTACTAGTACCACTAGTACTACATGATGCAGGGTCTGCTGGTTTACTAGTACTACATGAAGCAGGGTCTGCTGGTTTACTAGTACTACATGAAGCAGGGTCTGCTGGTTTATTAGTACCACTAGTACTACATGAAGCAGGGTCTGCTGGTTTATTAGTACCACTAGTACTACATGAAGCAGGGTCTGCTGGTTTACTAGTACTACATGAAGCAGGGTCTGCTGGTTTACTAGTACTACATGAAGCAGGGTCTGCTGGTTTACTAGTACTACATGAAGCAGGGTCTGCTGGTTTATTAGTACCACTAGTACTACATGAAGCAGGGTCTGCTGGTTTATTAGTACCACTAGTACTACATGAAGCAGGGTCTGCTGGTTTATTAGTACCACTAGTACTACATGAAGCAGGGTCTGCTGGTGTACTAGTACTACATGAAGCAGGGTCTGCTGGTTTATTAGTACCACTAGTACTACATGAAGCAGGGTCTGCTGGTTTATTAGTACCACTAGTACTACATGAAGCAGGGTCTGCTGGTTTATTAGTACCACTAGTACTACATGAAGCGGGCTGCTGGTTTATTAGTACCACTAGTACTACATGAAGCAGGGTCTGCTGGTTTATTAGTACCACTAGTACTACATGAAGCAGGGTCTGCTGGTTTATTAGTACCCCTAGTACTACATGAAGCAGGGTCTGCTGGTGTACTAGTACTACATGAAGCAGGGTCTGCTGGTTTATTAGTACCACTAGTACTACATGATGCAGGGTCTGCTGGTTTATTAGTACCACTAGTACTACATGAAGCAGGGTCTGCTGGTGTACTAGTACTACATGAAGCAGGGTCTGCTGGTTTATTAGTACCACTAGTACTACATGAAGCGGTCTGCTGGTGTACTAGTACTACATGAAGCGGTCTGCTGGTGTACTAGTACTACATGAAGCGGTCTGCTGGTGTACTTGTACCACTAGTACTACATGAAGCGGTCTGCTGGTGTACTTGTACCACTAGTACTACATGAAGCGGTCTGCTGGTGTACTTGTACCACTAGTACTACATGAAGCGGTCTGCTGGTGTACTTGTACATCATGAGGTTGTTTGAGTCAAGCAGCTTTATAAAGAATCTTTATTTAACAAAAATAAATCTGAGACTTAAAAACAAAGACAGAAACATGCAAATACATCCATGTGTGTGTGTGCGTGTGTGCGTGTGCGTGTGTGCGTGTGCGTGCGTGTGTGTGTGTGCGTGTTCAGTAGCAGCGCAGGAAGAAGGTGTTGCAGGCCGTTCCTCTCAGACAGTCACAGAGTCGACCGATACGAGGTCCATGTTTCATAGCACAGCGCTCACCAACGTCACACTGAGACACACACATGATGCTTTACTCTTAAGTGCTCCTGAGCACAAACAGGATGTGATGTCATAAAACAGAACAATATAGTACTACATTTAGTGGTAAACACATAGTACTTAACATAGTGATATTTGTAGTAATACACATAGTAGAAGTAAAGAGTGTCACATCATCACAGGAAACACACAATAAATAATAAATGAACAATAATATTGGTGATTGATTGACGGCTGTCAGTCGTGTTCTCACCCGTGGGATCACGCTGGCTTTCTTCTCCACGGAGAGCCGGGTGTCACCTTCATCCAGGACGCCCTGCAGGGCTTCAGCCTGAGCGCGCACGCACACACACACACACACACACAATCAGTATTATTTATTACTACTTTTATTATTTTAATTTCACATTTAATCTTTTATTAAGGATATTTTACAACATGCACTAATACTTTCTTGCTTCATTCATTTATTGGTTGACATAAATAATAATAATAATCATGAAACTATTTACCAGCTCTGCGGTTGTGAGTCCGAGCACCGTGTCGGCCGACCTTTGACCCTGGCACAGCGAGGTCAGCAGGGACAGACAGACGGACAGGTAAACGGCGGCGTGCACGCGCTCCATCGCCAGAAGTACGGAGAGGTCCTAAAGGATGAAAGCACAGGAAGTGATGTCGTCTTACAGAGGTATTAATGAGGAGAAGAAGAAGTGACTCACGATTTAAAAGCTTCAGAGACGATGGAAGACTTCTTCTTCTGTGGTGTCGGCTTGTGGCTGAGCTCAAACTGTGTTGTGCCTCCGTCTCTTCCTCCTTTATTTATACAGTCTCCTCCTCTCCCACCTCCCTTCCTCCCCCTTCTCCTCCTTTGTTTATCCACTCTCCTCCTCCTGTGATGGATGATGCTGGTGATCGTTAAACACATGAGGCTCCCTGCTGACCATGAGTTGAAGGTCAAAGGTCAGATGAACCCCTGACCCCTTTTCTTTTTTTGATGATCCTTCTGAGATGAAACATTATTGGTTCTTTATTACCGCGATCACAGATCAGAGATATTCCAACAGACAAGACACAAAAATACTCTGCAGTCCGCATTTATTTTAACACATTTACAGTTGTTTAGTTTCTCTTTGACATTGTTGATTGTTTTTGTATGTTTGCAGTTTGTGTTCATTGTTTTTGTACTTGTTTTGTGTCTTTGTGGTCCCGTTAAACATTGACGGTGTCTGTGGAGACGATCGGATGACTGAGGGTGAGAATCCTGCATTATTTGGAATAATTCTTCTTTAACTTGTAAAGGTTCATTTATTTTTTATTTATCACATCGAGCATCAATGCAGTAGCTGTAGAAACTGCTCATGGAGAAGATGTCCTCCCTTCACCTGCTGATTAACAGCCAGCTGCTTCCTGGATCCCGTTTCATTAAATGTTTGTTGGTCTGATTTGACCACAGATCAGTTGTGATGTTGCACCTTTTCTTCATCTGATTCATCAACGCTAAATGTCAGGCAGAAGCAGAGAACATGAGGGGGGAGTTAACGCAGCTGCTGTCCACCTTGAGACAAATAAACATGTTAAATAAGACATTTGTCTTTGGGACCAACAACTCTTTACATTACAGGTCATTTATCTGACGCTTTTATCCAAAGCGACTTACGGCGCGTTTCCACCCAGCGGTACGGGTCGGTACGGGTCGGGTTGGTACGGGTCGGTACGGGTCGGGTTGGTACGGGTCGGTACAGGTCGGGTTGGTACGGGTCGGTATGGGTCGGGTCGGTACGGGTCGGGTCGGTACGCTGTTATTTGGGTCTCCACTTCCAAAAATTGAGAATGGGACCAAAAATCCGAACCGTACCGTAGCACTCTTTGGGTTCCCTTCCGTTGGGGCACCTGGCACAGGTGTTTGGTACTAAAGGGCGGAGCTAGACTCACTGCAGAGCGTTGATTGGTTGAAAGAGTGTCGTCATTTGCGCGTGCCGCAAGCGGAAAGACAACACACGTAACACACCTGCAGCGTGTAGCCTCCTTGTGACAAACAGCCACATATCGAGAAGCAGGAACAGGATCGGCTGCACGTCCTCCATTGTTGTTTGCGGTTAGTTTCAGTTTTCACGCGATCGAATGACGTTAATCTGCTTTCCGTCACACACCACGCCTATCAAGTGACGTCATCACTACCTTCTGAAATACACCACGCCTATCAAGTGACGTCATCACTACCTTCTGGAATACACCACGCCTATCAAGTAAGGGTACTGTTGGCGGTGGAAACGCTCGCCAAATCATGTTTAACCGACTCGACCGCTCGGTGGAAACGCGCCATTACATTACATTACTTACATTAACACACGACTTTTTACATTTCAGCCCGGGGAGCAATTAGGGGTTAGGTGTCTTGCTCAGGGACACTTCAACATGGGACGTGGAGCAGCCGGGGCTCGAACCACCAACCTTGCAGTTCCTGGCGCTCCCTCTCTACCCGTGCGCCACATCGACCCCCCATTAAATGTCAAGGGGTCACTGCTGCACCTTGTTTTGTTCACCAGGCTTTCTTCTCTTTCTCATTTATTTCCACAATCCACCAAACAGACAATAAAACTTGTCTTCCTTCCTGTGCAGGGCTCCGTCTCACTGGGAACTAAAGCTATTAGTCACCCAGGTGCATGCTGGTCCTACCTGGCCACGCCCTTAAGTAACCCCCAGGTGCCCACAGCATCACCCAATCAGTGGTCCAATTATCCAAACTAGACAGAAACCACAGAAGACGAATGATGACCTGGTTCTTCTGAGTCCTCGGAGACCTTCAGGAGCCGGACGATGAGCAGCTCAGACCCAGAGAACTATTTCCTTATAGTGGATATCTAGTCCTCGTTGGGCCTTTGTACTCAGTTTGAAAGTCTTTTTGTAACTGAAAGAATTAGAAATATACAAATCTTCAATTTGAAATGAATGTTGTAACTTCTTAGTTATTACACTTTTTATCATGGGTCACTAATTTGTCTATTGGGACAATTGCTGTCAGGATAAAGGGGAACTCCTGTGAGTGCTGTGTGCAAATCAGTTGACATGTATGTGAAACAATCCACACAGAAAACCCGTTGTGTACATTATGATCATTAATAGTTGTGTATGGGGGGGGGGGGGGGGTTACACTGTGCGTTCATGTCTCAGCTGATGGATTCTGAGTCAATGAGAAGCAGCATTCGGTTCTGCTCGGTTCTGCCAGGAAGCATCGAAGCCTTTGAAGGTCAACGGAGATAACGGACCAACGGGAATCTCTGATTGAAGACATGAAGGACATGCAGGACATGAAGGCGCTGTCCTCCCAGACAGAAATAGACGTGGCGCCCGAGGCGTCCGTCAACACGGACGGCGCTCGTGCTCGATAGCCGACACGTGTGATCACAGTCAAAGCTCGACCAGAAATACAGCAGCTCAGATTACACACATTCACCTTTGGTGTGGACGTTTAAATGTCTGTACTATATCAATCCAAAGTATTCTTATTATTATTACATAAAGTCCAGTTCTTAGAAAGCGTTTCCCTGAGGAGGGAAAAGATGGAAAAGAAAGAGGATCCTTTGTGTGTAACGAGACATTTTATTGCAAAAAACCAACAACTGTACAAAAATGACCTTTTACATTCTGGAAGATGCTTAATGTCTAAACAAAGACGGCTTAAATGAAACTGTTTTATTGGTAAAATCATTTCTCAGAGCTGCTCATGAAGCCGTTGTGTGTGTTTGTTGACTTGTTTGTTTTATAGTCCATCAATCAACAACATAGAAGCAGAGATACAATCTATTCACTATGAAACAAGTATATAATAGATATATAATATATATACACACATACAAATGCATGCATGTGCACACAAACATTAAATGTGTTTGCATGTTTCTATACAACCTGTTCTCAGCTTTGTGGGGACGTTTTTCCAGCTGATTCAAGGATCACGTCCAGGGAGGCGAACAGTGCAAACTACGTTAACAGTGAAAGATTCAAACATACGTGACCTTCAGAAGGAACAAAGTCCATCAATCCTTTACTTTTTTCCAAACCCTGGAAAATTAAAATGTATCTTAAATATGCTTTAGCTCTAAATGTATTTGATGATGACGATTCATTGGTCTGATTTCGGTTTGCTCTCTTTCCATCGTTAAGTCATTAAGAAGGTTCCACATGTACTTATACACATGTACTTATACACATGTACTTGTACACATACATATCAAATTGCAAAGTCTTTCTCCCACGTTGAAGATGTGAAGATAAGATGAAGACAGACGAGTCCATGTGATGTTGTGGTTGGAGTGTTGCTCTGTGATTGGCTGAGCCTGTAAAGCCACGCCGGGGGACACGGTGTTCCTCTCCCCGGAGGTCAGAGGTCAGAGGCCGAGACCCCTCCCACCTCAGGCGACCCGCTCTGGTTTGTGCAGGTTAGAACTGATCAGACGTCAGCTGCAGAGCAACAAATCAATAAAACAACAATTTGTTTTTCTCAAAACATAAATAAGGATTCAAAAGTGCTTCACAAGTCATTAAAATAGTCAGAAAAGATCGTAGAGGTATTTATGTCCATACTCATCCAAACAGATATGTATATATATATATATATATATATATATATATATATATATATATATATACACATATACATATATATGTATATATGTGTTACATTAATCTCATTTAGGGTAAATTAGGTTGCTTTTTCTGCATTAATCATAGAACTGATCCAAGCTCTGCTTAGTAACATTTAGTGTTCGGCACCAAACAGAACAACGCCATTTGTTATCTGAGATGTGACTCAAAATGTCAGCGAGTGATTGGTTCTGACTCAGAACCGGTTTTCGCGCTACGAGTATCTCAACCTTTCAAAGTGTCAGAAGGACCTCGTTTATCTCTAATTATTTCATGACATTAAGTTTATCAGCAGCGTGTGATTTCTGCTCCGCCCCCCGCGGACCCCCAAGGGACGTTACAGAGCAACAGAGAAACAACTGAAACATGTTGTAATACAATCCTCAGGATTCTGTGTGTGTCTCACCTGTGTGCGTGTCCTTCTCATAGTGTGTGTTGAAGGCTGATCAGGGTAACCAGAGTCCAGAGAAGCATCCTGATTTCCTACCGACAGAGAATGCATCGTCAGCTGATCACATGACACAGAGTGTCACCTGAGGACTTTCACTGTGCATGTCTTATATTTACATATGAAGTCACTTCACAAAAACAGACTAAACAAACACTAAACGCATTAAAGTTACGAAGACAAAACATTTAGAATCCCTGGAGGTTTCTCAGTGTGTGTGTTTCTTCTTCTGCTAGATTGTGTTGTGTTGTAAGAAGATATTGACGGCAGAGAAAAGCTTCCCTGAACATCTGAGAGCTTCTTCTCTTTAGTTTCACTCTGGCTCTTGAGAAGAAGAAGTTGGGTTACATCCATACGTCACTCATTACATCCATACGTCACTCAATACATCCATACGTCACTCAATACATCCATACGTCACTCATTACATCCATACGTGACTCATTACATCCATACGTGACCCAATTACATCCATACGTTATTACATCCATACGTCACTCAATACATCCATACGTGACTCATTACATCCATACGTGACTCATTACATCCATACGTGACTCATTACATCCATACGTCACTAAATACATCCATACGTCACTCATTACATCCATACGTCACTCATTACATCCATACGTCACTCATTACATCCATACGTCACTCATTACATCCATACGTCACTCAATACATCCATACGTGACTCATTACATCCATACGTCACTGATTACATCCATACGTCACTCAAATACATCCATACATCACTCATTACATCCATACGTCACTCAATACATCCATACGTCACTCATTACATCCATACGTCACTCATTACATCCATACGTCACTCAATACATCCATACGTGACTCATTACATCCATACGTCACTGATTACATCCATACGTCACTCAATACATCCATACGTCACTCAATACATCCATACGTCACTCATTACATCCATACGTCACTCATTACATCCATACGTCACTCATTACATCCATACGTCACTCATTACATCCATACGTCACTCATTACATCCATACGTGATTCATTACATCCATACGTCACTCAATACATCCATACGTCACTCATTACATCCATACGTCACTCAATACATCCATACGTGACTCATTACATCCATACGTCACTCATTACATCCATACGTCACTCATTACATCCATACGTCACTCATTACATCCATACGTCACTCATTACATCCATACGTGATTCATTACATCCATACGTCACTCAATACATCCATACGTGACTCATTACATCCATACGTCACTGATTACATCCATACGTCACTCAATACATCCATACGTCACTCATTACATCCATACGTCACTCATTACATCCATACGTCACTCATTACATCCATACGTCACTCATTACATCCATACGTCACTCAATACATCCATACGTGACTCATTACATCCATACGTCACTGATTACATCCATACGACACTCAATACATCCATACGTCACTCAATACATCCATACGTCACTCATTACATCCATACGTCACTCATTACATCCATACGTCACTCAATACATCCATACGTGACTCATTACATCCATACGTCACTGATTACATCCATACGACACTCATTACATCCATACGTCACTCATTACATCCATACGTCACTCATTACATCCATACGTCACTCATTACATCCATACGTCACTCATTACATCCATACGTCACTCAATACATCCATACGTCACTCAATACATCCATACGTCACTCATTACATCCATACGTCACTCATTACATCCATACGTCACTCATTACATCCATACGTCACTCATTACATCCATACGTCACTCATTACATCCATACGTCAATACATCCATACGTCACTCATTACATCCATACGTCACTCAATACATCCATACGTCACTCAATACATCCATACGTCACTCAATACATCCATACGTCACTCAATACATCCATACGTCACTCAATACATCCATACGTCACTCATTACATCCATACGTCACTCAATACATCCATACGTCACTCAATACATCCATACGTCACTCAATACATCCATACGTCACTCATTACATCCATACGTCACTCAATACATCCATACGTCACTCATTACATCCATACGTCACTCAATACATCCATACGTCACTCATTACATCCATACGTCACTCAATACATCCATACGTCACTCAATACATCCATACGTCACTCGTTACATCCATACGTCACTCATTACATCCATAAGTCACTCATTACATCCATACGTCAATCAATACATCCATACGTCATTACAGTCCATACGCACTCAATACATCCATACGTCACTCATTACATCCATACTCACTCATTACATCCATATTCATTACATCCATACGTCACTCATTACAGTCCATACGTCACTCTTACATCCATACGTCACTCAATACATCCATAACCTCCTCAATACATCCATGACGTCACTCATTACATCCATACTCACTCAATACATCCATACGTCACTCAATACATCCATACGTCACTCATACATCCATACGTCACTCATTACATCCATACTCACTCATTACATCCATACGTCACTCATTACATCCATACGTCACTCATTACATCCATCCGTCACTCATTACATCCATACGTCACTCATTACATCCATACGTCACTCATTACATCCATACGTCACTCATTACATCCATACGTCACTCATTACATCCATACGTCACTCATGACATCCATACGTCACTCATTACATCCATACGTCACTCATTACATCCATACGTCAGTCAATACATCCATACGTCACTCATTACATCCATACGTCACTCATTACATCCATACGTCACTCATTACATCCATACGTCACTCATTACATCCATACGTCACTCATTACATCCATACGTGACTCATTACATCCATACGTCACTCATTACATCCATACGTCACTCAATACATCCATACGTCACTCAATACATCCATACGTCACTCGTTACATCCATACGTCACTCATTACATCCATAAGTCACTCATTACATCCATACGTCAATCAATACATCCATACGTCATTACATCCATACGTCACTCAATACATCCATACGTCACTCATTACATCCTACGTCACTCATTACATCCATATGTCATTACATCCATACGTCACTCATTACATCCATACGTCACTCATTACATCATACGTCACTCAATACATCCATACGTCACTCAATACATCCATACGTCACTCATTACATCCATACGTCACTCAATACATCCATACGTCACTCAATACATCCATACGTCACTCAATACATCCATACGTCACTCATTACATCCATACGTCACTCATTACATCCATACGTCACTCAATACATCCATACGTCACTCAATACATCCATACGTCACTCAATACATCCATACGTCACTCATTACATCCATACGTCACTCATTACATCCATACGTCACTCAATACATCCATACGTCACTCATTACATCCATACGTCACTCAATACATCCATACGTCACTCAATACATCCATACGTCACTCAATACATCCATACGTCACTCATTACATCCATACGTCACTCATTACATCCATACGTCATTACATCCATACGTCACTCAATACATCCATAAGTCACTCAATACATCCATACGTCACTCATACATCCATACGTCACTCATTACATCCATACGTCACTCATTACATCCATACGTCACTCATTACATCCATACGTCACTCATTACATCCATACGTCACTCATTACATCCATACGTCACTCATTACATCCATACGTCACTCAATACATCCATAAGTCACTCTTACATCCATACGTCACTCAATACATCCATACGTCACTCATTACATCCATACGTCACTCAATACATCCATACGTCAATCATTACATCCATACGTCACTCATTACATCCATACGTCACTCATTACATCCATACGTCACTCATTACATCCATACGTCACTCAATACATCCATACGTCACTCATTACATCCATACGTCACTCATTACATCCATACGTCACTCATTACATCCATACGTCACTCATTACATCCATACGTCACTCAATACATCCATACGTCACTCATTACATCCATACGTCACTCATTACATCCATACGTCACTCATTACATCCATACGTCACTCAATACATCCATACGTCACTCATTACATCCATACGTCACTCATTACATCCATACGTCACTCATTACATCCATACGTCACTCAATACATCCATACGTCACTCATTACATCCATACGTCACTCATTACATCCATACGTCACTCAATACATCCATACGTCACTCAATACATCCATACGTCACTCAATACATCCATACGTCATCATACATCCATACGTCACTCATTACATCCATACGTCACTCATTACATCCATACGTCACTCAATACATCCATACGTCACTCATTACATCCATACGTCACTCATTACATCCATACGTCAATCAATACATCCATACGTCACTCAATACATCCATACGTCACTCATTACATCCATACGTCACTCATTACATCCATACGTCACTCATTACATCCATACGTCACTCATACATCCATACATCATTACATCCATACGTCACTCATTACATCCATACGTCACTCAATACATCCATACGTCACTCATTACATCATACGTCACTCATTACATCCATACGTCATTACATCCATACGTCACTCAATACATCCATAAGTCACTCATTACATCCATACGTCACTCATTACATCCATACGTCACTCAATACATCCATACGTGACTCATTACATCATACGTGACTCATACATCCATACGTCAATCAATACATCCATACGTCACATCAATACATCCATACGTCATTACATCCATACGTCACTCATTACATCCATACGTCACTCATTACATCCATACGTCACTAATACATACATACGTCACTATTACATCCATAAGTCACTCATTACATCCATACGTCCTCATTACATCCATACGTCACTCAATACATCCATACGTCACTCATTACATCCATACGTCACTCAATACATCCATACGTCACTCAATACATCCATACGTCACTCATTACATCCATACGTCAACTCATTACATCCATACGTCACTCAATACATCCATACGTCACTCATACATCCATACGTCACTCATTACATCCATACGTCACTCATACATCCATACGTCACTCATTACATCCATACGTCACTCATTACATCCATACGTCACTCATACATCCATACGTCACTCAATACATCCATAAGTCACTCATTACATCCATACGTCACTCATTCATCCATACGTCACATACATCCATACGTCACTCATTACATCCATACGTCATCATTACATCCATACGTCACTCATTACATCCATACGTCACATCATTACATCCATACGTCACTCATACATCCATACGTCACTCATTACATCCATACGTCACTCAATACATCCATAAGTCACTCAATACATCCATACGTCACTCATTACATCCATACGTCACTCAATACATCCATACGTCACTCATTACATCCATACGTCACCATTACATCCATACGTCACTCATTACATCATACGTCACTCATTACATCCATACGTCACTCAATACATCATACGTCACTCAATACATCCATACGTGTTTCATTACATCCATACGTGACTCATTACATCCATACGTCAATCAATACATCCTACGTCACTACTCATTACAATCCATACGTAATCATACATCCATACGTCACTCATTCTCCCCACTGATTGTTTTCGTCGTGTAGTGAAGTCTGTGGTTCCGCCCACCATCACACACGGTTAGACGATGTTCTTACCAGAGGAACCGGAAGTGATGCAGCGTTTAGAACATTGACTCCGCCCCGCTCCGTGGTTTCTTGGGTGGTTGTCATGGTAACAGTCACGGTCCTTTCGCCTGCCCCTCTGTGTCCTCCTCTTCGTCTTTGAATAGGCTTGCTAAACTGATCCAAGTCCTCGCTGCTGGCGTTACCTGAACGCACCACGTAACAAACCCTTAGAACAGTAGCGCGGTTCTGGTGAGGAGCACCTGAACGCACCACGGTAACAAACCCTTAGAACAGCAGCGCGGTTCTGGTGAGGAGCACCTGAACGCACCACGGTAACAAACCCTTAGAACAGCAGCGTGGTTCTGGTGAGGAGCACGTGAACGCACCACGGTAACAAACCCTTAGAACAGCAGCGTGGTTCTGGTGAGGAGCACGTGAACGCACCACGGTAACAAACCCTTAGAACAGCAGCGTGGTTCTGGTGAGGAGCACCGACCCGACGCCTTCTACCGGACTTACTGTAGAAGCTGTAGTCGAAGGTGACGTTGTAGTCGCCGTAGTCGCCGTAGTCGGGAGGCACGGTGGGCTCGTAGTACTGAGCCCGGACCACTGAAAACACAAGTCATGAACGTCACGATGGCGTCTCAGGGTCACGCTGCTCCACTGGGACGTGAAACAAATAATAAGTTCTGTAGAGACGGACACACACACACACACACACACACACACACACTAAATGAGGTCAGTCGGTCATAATCTGTAAAATCTGATCTGTGTCAGTGCCTTGATTCGACCTTTGACCTTAGAGTGCTAAACATGTGTGATACATGTTAACACTAAGCTCTTTAACATGGAATTACAAACACAGACTCACACAGAAACACACACACACACACACACACTCATACACACACACACACACACCACAGGGGGGTTGATGGGAACTGAGGGGGTGTCTGTTAACTGTTAACAGGAAGTGACATCACTAACATTCTGTCAATCAGAGTTCATCCCACCGAGGCAGGAGGAGGAAATTAAAACCAGGTGATACGATTGTTACACACAGACACACACACACACACACACACACACACACACACCACACACACACACACGGGAGGGAAGGAAAGGAAGTGTAGGTCAAAAGAGTAAGGGACCAAAAGAGAGAAGGAAAGATCGGGGTGGGGAGGGCGTGAAGGACAGAAGAGGGGAGGAAAAGGAGACAAGGGAAAGAGGAAGAGGCGTCTGTTGTGAGTCACATGACTTTACAGAAACCAAGCTGTGATTACATTCTGTGGAGAGCGCTTGACTCCTTTCCTCCTTCCTTCCCTCCTTCCAGTTTGAAGTGTGTTTATTTTATTGTCAACTTTTCCATTTTCACTGTTTGTGTCCAGATACTCCTCCTTTCTATTGTCCTTCTTCTCCTCCTTTCTATTGTCCTTCTTCTCCTCCTTTCTATTGTCCTTCTTCTCCTGCCTTTCTATTGTCCTTCTTCTCCTCCTTTCTATTGTCCTTCTTCTCCTCCGTTCTCTTGTCCTTCTTCTCCTCCTTCTATTGTCCCTTCTTCTCCTCCTTTCTATTGTCCTTCTTCTCCTCCTTTCTATTGTCCTTCCTCCTTATTCTATTGTCCTTCTCCTCCTTTCTATTGGTCCTTCTTCTCCTCCCTCCATTTTTTTTTCTTCTTGACTTCTTTTCACTTTCTTTTTCTATTCTTTTTTTACGGTTCTTTTCTTTCTCTTTAATTTAACTTCTTCTTGTCTTGCTCTTTTTCTTCTTCGCTTGTTTTGATTGTTCCACTGTTCTTTTTTGGTTCTTCTTCAAATAAACTGTATAACAAGAGTAACTTTCATGAAGTTACGTCATCAAAGCTGCTACATATTGATTGATGGTATTTCTGATTGATTGATTTATTGATCATGCTGAAACAGAACCAAAGAAACAGGAAAGTTTCCCTCCATTGATCCTTTGAACTGATCGATTCACTGCTGAACTCATTGCAGCTGCACCAACTACACACCGTTTACTATGTGCTGCCTTTATGCTAAGCTAACTAGCTGCTGGGAGATAAACAGTTGTAGTTATTCAGACCTGCACACAAACAGGAAGTGAAAAAGCTGCAACACACACATAGTGTGACAGAGCAACACACACACACACAATGACATATGAACACACACACAATGACATATGAACACACACACACAGCGTGACAGAGACACACACACACAGTGACATATGAACACACACACAGTGACATATGAACACACACAGTGACATATGAACACACACACACAGCGTGACAGAGACACACACACACACACACATACACACACAGCGTGAGGACTCACCAGCAGGCAGCAGGAGTGAAGCTGCACACAGACACACACACAGGAGGCTCCAGCTGGACATGATGAGCAGAGAATGAATGAATGAACGTGGGGGACGAAGTGGGGACGAGAAGGGACGAAGATCACCTAATGAGACCTGAATGAGCAGTAGAAAAGAGAAAGAGGGGAGGGGGGGGGAGGGAGGAGGGGCCGGGGGGAGGAGGGGGGAGGAGTTCTGGTTTACTGCCAAGTTTGTTCCCCAAAGACAAAGAGAGAAAAAAAGGAACAAGGAGAGAAGTTATTTATGTTTTGATTAGTATCCAATGATTGTTATCCTGATATAAAAGACTTATATAATATTCAGCAGCAATGTATAAGACACAGAATACATACAGAAAATAGAATAACACAAAATAAATAAATAAATACAGGAGGCAGAATAGATGTAGAATAATACGCTCACTTTGAGCTCGAGTAACAACACTGAAACAAACACGGTGAGCAACAACGTAATCACACCCAGAACAGCATCCTCTCCTGAACCTAAACTAACAACACTGAGACAACAGACTGATTATGGGAATCCGTTCAGCGCCGTCCTCTTTCCTCATAGACGTCTATGGGAGCAGAGGAGTCGCCCCCTGCTGGTCACTACAGAGAAGTAGAGTCATTTCCTCATAGACGTCTATGGGAGCAGAGGAGTCGCCCCCTGCTGGTCACTACAGAGAAGTAGAGTCATTTCCTCATAGACGTCTATGGGAGCAGAGGAGTCGCCCCCTGCTGGTCACTACAGAGAAGTAGAGTCATTTCCTCATAGACGTCTATGGGAGCAGAGGAGTCGCCCCCTGCTGGTCACTACAGAGAAGTAGAGTCATTTCCTCATAGACGTCTATGGGAGCAGAGGAGTCGCCCCCTGCTGGTCACTGCATGAAGCTTTGAACCAGAGGTCGTCTCCTGGTTACGGTAAGAAGCTCATTTTTAATTTAATTAGTAGAAACTGACTTCAGAGTGTCTGAATGTTGGTACTGACCAACGTTCTCGCCTGACCAATCAAAACCGAGAAGACAAATTACAGGTTAAACATTGACAATGAAACTTTAACATGTAACAACAAACGATATCCTGGAGGAAACCAAACATCTTTAACAGCAGCACTCTTTTAGTCTCCCTGCTGAGGTCTTTTATTTTCACACTTCACACTTCCTGTCGGTCAACAACACACATTGTGTTCATCCTCAGAGCTGCATCATACGGAGGTCAGAGGCTGGTTTCACCCAGCGGGAAGGGAAACACATTTTGTTTGTTCTCCACTTGGCGTGTCGGGAAACGCACCTTGCAGTGATGTCATCAGTGATGTCATCAGGGGTAAAGTATGTTCCCGTAGAGCGAAACACAGTTCTTCTCTGGGATGCCAGAACAACATGTCAGCACCAGAGAGCATCATGGGAAAAGAGTCTCAACACCACGACGACACTCTGGAGGTGCAGCTCATCGGAAATATCCATGAACTATATCACATAGGGTTAAATATTATAATATGTAATATTTAATATAATCTACAACATAAAGTCCAGTATTTAGTCACCTCTGACATCCATGAACATTCAGCAAGCGTTAACTGGTAAACTGGTTTAAGTCGTGTTTGTGATGTCATTGTGTTGAAGAATAGGAACACGTATTATAGAATAGTATTTAGTATTTTCCACCTTCATGAGTACTTTTTATCAGTGGTAATACTATTATGAAAAAACGTGACCTGACCTGAGTACTTTGTCTCAGCGGGACACTAGCATCCCCTGACTAGCATTAGCATTGTGAATGAGGCCCAGCATGCCGCCGCTCAGTGGACACAGCAGCAGGACGTGTGGTGTGAAGGGAGGAAGTCCGCTGTTGTCTTGAACACGAGAGCTTTTCCCTGCACAGAAAACGTCCCAACAGACAAAACTTTCATGTGAGAGCAGCGGTTTTAAAATCGTCCTCCCACCAGAAACTAAAACCTTTAATCTGAAAATCACTGCTGACAGAGAGAAAAAACCCTGATTACAGTCCTGCTCAGTGTAATCGCTTTGACCCGAAGCCAAAGCTCCCACTCGCTCTGTTTGAATCCAGACGTTCAGTGAACAAACCGCTGCGTCTTTAATCTGATCTAATCTTCCGTTGGAACCAGATTACAGCCTGAGCCGGTCTCCTCTCTGGATGTTAAAATAAGAGCAGCAGAAGTAGGAAAACAGAGGCACTAACTAGCGTAGCTTAGCACAAACACTGCAAGCAGGGGGAAACTGCTAGCCTAGCTTCATCACAAGAAACAAATCCACCTTCCCACAAGTCTAGAGAAAAAAACGCCTGTCGCACAATAATGTTGGTACCAGATTAACAGTATTTATTCTGTCAGGGAGGGAAATCATTCATTAAAACCATGAATTAGTGATTCGCGGGAAAAACAAACACTCACTACTTGAGCGAAGGAAGTGACTCATGAGGATTAAGGGGCTTCTTAAGACACTACAGGGTTCAACGCAGCCATGAAATGCATCGTGGGAAACGGTGTTCAACAGAAAAGAGAAAAACAGGAGTTAATCAGATAAATGATGAAGATTAAAGACAAACATCAGTTTAAAAACCTACAGATTCAGTCGCTAAACCACAGACACACAAAAAAAGCACACAAAACCATCTGGAAACTGACGGCACCTAAAAGAATGAAGAGAAGAAGATAATGCAAACAAGGAGACGTCCATATCTTTATTATTATTAACGGTTGCTTGAATAAGTTGCATTTCCATTTGAATGACTATTTTAGCAGCATAACACTTTGATTTCTTCACTCTCAACATTAATCTAAATAATACGCACACTTTCAAGGATGAAATAATAAGACAAAACTATTGAGAAGAAAAGTCTAAAGGTTAATTAATTAGCTTCAGCTACAATTGTACTAACGAAGGTCCTGCCCTGAACTCGTGGCCTCAGGTTTGGTCTCAAACTAAATTTAAACAAACTGTTATGAACTTCTTTCCCATCATGCATCTCCCAGCTGGTCGGTGGTGTCCTCAGGGGGTCGCTGCCTCGCTCAAGGGCACGGAAAATTGTTGGTGTTCTCCTTGTTTCTATATATTACTGTGTCAGCAGGGACGTTTAGTGTTCCTGAACGCATTTCGGGACGACGTGAGAGTCTACACGGGGTGTGTGTGTGTGTGTGTGTGTGTGTGTGTGTGTGTGAGTCTACACGGGGCGTGTGTGTGTGAGTCTACACAGGGTGTGTGTGTGAGTCTACACGGGGTGTGTGTGTGTGTGTGTGTGTGCATCCGACTCTCATGTGAACATTGTCAGAAGGCCGTTAGATTTACTGTATGACATGTTTATGTGACATCAGCCTGCGACAGTAATATCATAGTATACGATATTAAGCTGTGTAACATATATATATATATACACACACACATATATACATATATAGTACATATACAAAACGTTTCTACATCATCTTATGTTTAAATTATGAACAAACAGGATTCCGTCTGCTCCACCACTTTAATGTCACTCATCTGAGCAAAGAGAACATTTGGTTATTCACCAATGGAGTGTGACGATTGTCCAAGACCTACAGGAAGTTCACAGGTTCATAGTTTATTGTCATCAGAAGAAATGTTCAGAAGCTTAACACACATTATAGTGATTGGATGGTACCAGATTTATAAAATACTTCCTTAGATAAAACAAATGATCTTGATGAGCATTTATTTAACTTTCTCAACCCTCTAAAGCAAAAAGAACTTCCAGCTCCTCGAAGGATCCGTCACTGCTTCATCGGATCCTTTACTGCCAACTGATCTTTGTAAAAACTAAGCCTGGTCACACGGTTTCCCCCCGGCCAGCGACTCGCTGGCACACTGGTGGTACTTCAGCTCTGTGTACCAGGCGAAGCCTCGGCCGCAGGCGCCGCAGACATACTGCTTCTCCACGGTGTGAACGGCCATGTGGGACTGCATGCTAGCCTTGTGCGCGTATCTCTTCCCGCACACAGAGCAGGGGAAGGGTTTCTCCCTGGTGTGCGTCCTCATGTGGATCTCCAGGTGGGATTTGTATAGACACTTCAGGCCGCAAATGGAGCAAAAGAAGGCCTTTTCTCCTGTGTGGTACTTAATGTGGTTCCTCAGGTTGTAGTTGTGGTGGAATCGTTTCCCACACTCAGAGCAGGTGTAGGGTTTTGTGACAGTGAACCTGGTTTCACTTTGTGGAACCTTGTCACCATTCGGAGAATTGTCTTTCCAGATATCACTGTCAACACTGTGGCTGCTCTCTGACGCTCCGACATCTTTGTTGACAGCGTGACATTCCATAATTGTGTCAGAGATCTCACTACCTTTCAGAGAGTATAAACCTGACTGAGGTTCTCTGGTCTCCTTCCAAAAATCACTATCAACACTATCATCTGTAGCTGGTTCTGGACGCGAGTTCCTGTCTGGTTCTGGTCCTCCAATGTCCTCTCCATTACCTTCTGTCTCCATCTGTTCAGTTGGTCTCTGATGAAGCTGTAAGGACTGAGCTTCCTCTTCATCATCTTCACTCTTCACAGGAGTGAATGAGATCTTCATGTCTCGCTCTTCCAGCCCTTGAAGCTGCTCTCCCTCCTGACTGGTCCAGAGGTCCTCCAGTTCCTCTTTAATGTGGGAGGGCTTTTGGTCCATGTGCCGGTCGGGACTTCCTACTCGTGTTGATGGATCCCCTCCCGTAGAACTTTTTTTGTGGTGGTTGATAAACGTTTCATTGACCTGAGAGACTTCATCCTTTTTCAGAGAATTGAAACCCGACAGACGTCCACAGCTCTCTTCCCAGAAATGACTGTCGGCACTGTCTTCAGTCTCCGGTTCAGAAGAGTCTCCAGCACATGGTTGTGGATGTTCATCTGGATCGGAGTTCCTGTCTGGTTGTGATCCTTCAAAGTCCTCTCTGTCACCTTCTGCAGGTTCTGCCTCTCTGCACTCGCCAATTTGTCGCTGATGAAGCTGTGAGGACTGATGGCCAACGCACTGGTGATACTTCAGCTGATAATGCCAACTGAATCTTTGTTGAAAATATCTGCAGCTGTAGACCTTGTCCCGCGAGTGGATTTCCAGATGTTTTTCCAGATGTCTCCTCCATGCAAATTCTTTTCCACAAACGGTGCAACTAAACTGTGTTTGTCTCGTGTGGACCCTCATGTGCTGTACCAAATCCTCGCTATCACTGCATCCTGTGTTGCACACTGAGCAGCTGAAAGGTTTCTCCGCCGTGTGACACGTCACGTGAGAACGCAAACTCTCACGCTCTGCGAACGTTCTACCACAAACCGAGCAACCAAACGGCTTCAGTCCCGTGTGGAGTCTTATGGGAACATGCAGCTGGTGCTTTGGATTAAACCCTGCGGGGATCTGGTATCCGCCGGCCAACCCGTCGTCATCGCAGAGCTGCGAGGGCTCGCTGGTGCACTCGTCACCCACAGGGTCAGACTCTGGAGAGAATGTCTTGTGACAAATTACACAGCCGAGCGTTCTCTCTCCTATATGGATAGGTATGGGTCTTGACAGATATCCCGCCATTGCAGAGCCTTTCCCGCAAAATAAGCAGCCGAATGGTTTTCCTCCCACGGGGGAGTTCCCATGGGTCAGCAAAGTGAGACCATCTTCAGATCTTCGGTGACGATCAGAGAAGCTGGAAGGTTTCATGTTGCTGTTAAATCCTGGATCACCCACAAAGACCTGCTCACCTTTTAGAGGCTTTGGACCATGACCTCCATCATCAGCCGTGGGCTCAGCTTCAGTCCTGTTATCGGAGCAGCTGAATGGTGTCTTACTGCTTTTAAATCCATCATTCACAGAAACTTTTCTATTTCTCTGGTACGTAAACCCTGACTGGTGTTTCCTGGTCTCTGTCCAAAACTCAACGTCAACACTGTCCTCAACAGACGACGGCTTGGTGTCTTTATTGGTACCTGGTTTTGGGAGTCTAACCGGATCTGAGCTGCCTGCTGCCTCTTCTCGGTCACAGTCCCCTCCATTAAAGACTGCTCCTTTGAATCGACAGAGCTCCTCGAGACACTTGTGTTTCTTGATCTGAAAATGCCAAAAGAATCTCCTGCCACAGACGGCGCAGCTGAACGGCTTCACCCCTGAGTGGACCGCCATGTGTTGCGACATGATTCCCCTCTGGGAGAATCTTTTGCCGCACACAGAGCATCTGAACGGTTTCTCCCCGGTGTGGGTTCTCATGTGTATTGCCAAATGGGAGCTGAACTGACGCTTCTGGCCGCAGACGCCGCAGGTGAACAGCTTCTTTCCTCTGTGCATCCTTTCATGGGTCATCAGGAGGTAGTTGTTGGGAAATGTCGCATCACACTCCGAGCAGCTCAAGGGCTCGCCACATCGGCCTGCTCGGCCCCGGAGGAACCGCGGGCGCTCACCCACGCACTTGTGGACTTGGAGCTGCGACTCAGTCCCGAATCTTTTGTTGCAGATGCCGCAAGAGAATGGTTTCACCTCCGAGTGCCTCGCCATGTGAGACGTAAGTGCTCCTTTGTGTCGAAAGCTTTTACCACAGAGGGAGCAGCTGAACGGTTTCTCTCCGGTGTGGATTTTCAGGTGATAGTCCAGACCTGCTTTCTGAGTGAACCTTTTACTACACAGGGAGCAGCCGAAGGGTTTCACTCCCACGTGAGTCCTCATGTGTATGTTCAGATTCCCTCTCCGTTTAAATGTTTTGGCGCACACAGAGCAGCTGAAGGCTTTTCTTACAGGATCCTTCCAGTCTTTGTCAGGCTGAGATTCAAAGTCTGAAGTCTCAGTATCTGGACTTGAATTCCTTTCTGGTTCTGGTCCTCCACAGTCCTCTCCATCACCTTTTGTCTCCATCGGTTCAGTTTGTCTCTGATGAAGCTGTGAGGACTGAGCTTCCTCTTCATCACCTTCACTCTTCACAACAGTGAATGAGACCTTCATGTCAGCCTCCTCCAGCCCTTGAAGCTCCTCCTCTTTAATGTGGGGGGGCTCTGGTTCCTCTTGGTCCAGACTGGGACTCCACTCATGTTCTTCTTTAACCACCAACAGCTGCTGGACCTCTAGAGGAAACACACATTTTGGAAAGAAAATGGAGGAACTCGATTTGTATGACGTTGTATTATTGTTTTTTTATTTAATTCAAAATAATAATTCCATCATAATAAAAGATTAAATGAGAATTAAATGAGACCCGATTGTACAAGTTTCAGTGGAAGTTGTCGTAGAGAAGTCGGTCTTCTCTCGAACAATACGGCACTTGGATGGGATCCAAAGCGCAAAAAAACTGAAATCAGATACCTTGTTATTAGCAGTTTCTTATAGGAACTGTAAGAAAATAGCTCCTCACAACAGGATATGCCCTTAAGAAACTGAATTGATCCAAACAATTGCCTTTAGGTTCTATTATTATTGGACTGTTTAATTTATATTAATTTATACGTTGATCTTCATCTACAGGGTAAAAAAACAGCAACAGTGTTCAGCTGAATACTACCTCAATACCGTCCCTTTAATAGAGAACGGAGTCTAAACTTGTAATTGATTCAGGACAAAGCATAGTAAGCGTACTAAACAGTAAGCGTAGTAAGCAGTAAGCGTAGTAAGCGTAGTAAGCGGTAAGCGCAGTAAGCGGTAAGCGCAGTAAGCAGTAAGCGCAGTAAGCAGTAAGCGTAGTAAGCAGTAAGCGTAGTAAGCGTAGTAAGCGTAGTAAGCAGTAAGCGTAGTAAGCGTAGTAAGCGTAGTAAGCAGTAAGCGTAGTAAGCGTAGTAAGCGGTAAGCGCAGTAAGCGGTAAGCGCAGTAAGCAGTAAGCGCAGTAAGCAGTAAGCGCAGTAAGCAGTAAGCGCAGTAAGCAGTAAGCGTAGTAAGCAGTAAGCAGTAAGCGTAGTAAGCAGTAAGCGTAGTAAGCGTAGTAAGCGTAGTAAGCAGTAAGCGTAGTAAGCAGTAAGCGCAGTAAGCAGTAAGCGCAGTAAGCAGTAAGCGCAGTAAGCAGTAAGCGTAGTAAGCAGTAAGCAGTAAGCGTAGTAAGCAGTAAGCGTAGTAAGCGTAGTAAGCAGTAAGCGTAGTAAGCAGTAAGCGTAGTAAGCGTAGTAAGCGTAGTAAGCGTAGTAAGCAGTAAGCGCAGTAAGCGTAGTAAGCAGTAAGCGCAGTAAGCGTAGTAGGCAGTAAACGCAGTAAGCGTAGTAAGCAGTAAGCGTAGTAGGCAGTAAGCGCAGTAAGCAGTAAGCGTAGTAAGCGCAGTAAGCAGTAAGCGTAGTAGGCAGTAAGCGTAGTAAGCAGCAAGCGTAGTAAGCGCAGTAAGCGTAGTAAGCGCAGTAAGCGTAGTAAGCAGCAAGCGTAGTAAGCAGCAAGCGTAGTAAGCAGTAAGCGCAGTAAGCGTAGTAGGCAGTAAGCGTAGTAAGCAGTAAGCGTAGTAAGCAGTAAGCGTAGTAAGCAGTAAGCGTAGTAAGCGTAGTAAGCGTAGTAAGCAGTAAGCGCAGTAGGCAGTAAACGCAGTAAGCGTAGTAAGCAGTAAGCGTAGTAGGCAGTAAGCGCAGTAAGCAGTAAGCGTAGTAAGCAGTAAGCGTAGTAAGCGTAGTAAGCAGTAAGCGCAGTAAGCACAGTAAGCGTAGTAAGCAGTAAGCGTAGTAAGCAGTAAGCGTAGTAAGCGCAGTAAGCGCAGTAAGCGTAGTAAGCAGTAAGCGTAGTAAGCGTAGTAAGCAGTAAGCGCAGTAAGCAGTAAGCGCAGTAAGCGTAGTAAGCGCAGTAAGCGTAGTAAGCAGTTTCACATTTTGTACCTTGTCAGAAATGGATCACAGTTATGAGGCTAAAATATCCCTTTTTATGTCAGTACCGGAACTTTGTGGTGTGATTATGAACCAACTCTACATTTAGTTTAGTGTGATTATAAACTAACTACATTGCACTACATCAACGCAGGGACATTTAAAAGGTGAGGGTCCTGGAGCCTCATGGGTCTGAGTTAACTAAAGTAACGCAATCCTTGTTAACTTATCGTGAAGCTTACACTTACATGTTGGTAAACAGAACGTCTGGTGGAGGATGCTTGCTGATGCGCTTTCAGCTTGTTAAATGCAATGTGAATCAGTGAATTGTCTTTTTGTTCGTTCTGAATGGTTAATCTCCACAAAGCCTTCTTCAAAACAAAAGATTGTGTAAAAAATAATTTCATATCAACACAATTACCAGAGATCTACTGTATCATGAAACTATAGCCTACAAGGTGATAATTAAAGCTCTGTGTGTTTTGTGCTGACAGAGCATCCTCAACATGCTTGTCACTCACAGAGGCTTGATTACTAGTTTAAAACTTAATTTGCAGTTTAATTTGTATCACTACATAATGTATTTATACTGATTACATTTGTATTACATGTTACTCACGTAACATAGTTAAAATGGTTTGATATAATTCCTGCAGAAATGGCTGAACTACGTCACCTGCTGCTACAAAGTGGTACATGTATGGACCAAAAAGACAGGGAGGATTGTGGGTAATCCTCTGTGGAATTGAGGATTTAAAATGAGGTGACGTGCTTTTTTATGTCCGTGGACAATGTTTACTTCATTTACTTCAACTATTCATTTATGGTGTGGCTAGCTTAATTATTGTCATGTCTGTTGTCTTTGTTTAAGTTTGCCATGTTGTTATTAGTTAATGATATGTTGTGTATGTTTTATTGTGTGTGATAATGTCCGTTTTATCCAGGCACGTGATCCAGTTTCTTTTGTGTCTGTCGTTATTAACAGGTAGGTTACAGTATGTACAGTTGATTCATCTGTATATATTTTGGGTTATATGTTCCTTTGTATTTCTTGTGCAGTTATGTTTGTTTTATTTCAGTTCATTCCACCATACGATCATTGTATAAGCATTCCGTGCTCGGTAGAATTGAGGATATAAAATGTGTGCCTCATTTTAAATCCTTGACATTGGGTTGTCATTAACATTAGCAAGAAGACACCTCACAGGGGCCACACTCACATACATTTGAAGTTGAAATGTCAACATTTTGAGCCATTAATTTAATTTGCCATAGGGAAATAATTACATTAGTTGAATAATTGATTTCAAAAATAAGGTATAGTTGCCTCACTACTGTGCACACAAATTAATAAATGTGTTCTGCTGTGTTTATTTTACTGTATTGATTGATTGATGTCCTCTGGCATCAGATGATATTACTTTTAGCTAAAGGTTGGGTTTAACAGATTTTAATTTATTTTTCTCTCAGCCTGACATACATCATGCTGTGGATGTGAAGCATATTGTGCTACATCAAATTAAACAAGAAGATTGCCTTTTTTATTTGCGTTTTACAAGCGTCTTCGGGTTTTAGCGCAGCAGGTTGCTAGGCAACAGGAGCGGCACAGAAAAAGCTAATGAGGCAAACAGGAAGTCCCCTGTAGTCCAGACTGTCCTATTTCAGGTTCAGCTCGCGGCCGTTGGAGGACCAACCCACGATGACCAGAAGGTCCTCGTGAGGGTGCAGCCTATTGAGAGGAATAATCAACCTCAACACGCAGTGAGGGCTGTTAGCAGGAGCTAGCTGTTAGCTGCTAACAGGCTGTAGCTAACGTTAGCTTAGCACGGTCGACATTGTCAGTAAAGAAAGAAAACCAACCTGCTTCTGTCCGCAGCTCCATGTCGGCCCTTAAAACCACACCGATCTCCTCTTCACATCCGGGTATTGTTGTGTCCAAATGTCCAATGAGATGAGCGCGAGACACAGTCGGAGATGCTAAGTGAGCTCCAAGAAGACGGACTGCGGAGACCCGGAAGGACTAACACTCCCTCCGCTACGCTCCTCTAGCCTTCATAATAAAACCGCAAAATAGCATTTATAGATTTATAGTTACAAAGTAACGCATTACTGCAATTCCACTACTTTTAGCGTTAACGAGCATGTAACGACGTATGTTTTTAAATAAATTAACGCAGTTACAATTACTGAAATTGAAATGAGTCCGTTACTCGCGTTACTCTCGGGCCGGCAAATAGTAAGTAAACAGCTGCCTGTCAGCACTAAACAGCTGTGCGTCACAGAATAGTCGCGCACGTGCACGTAAACAGCATCGCGTCGCTCGTGAGGACAGAGCGCAGGATGCTGCCGGCGGCTCCACGCGAACAACCGAGCTCCTCTTCACACGATGAACCGGCAGAGCTGGTCGCTCGCTGTGTTGGAGATGAGATGCATCCTGTCAACTGTCGAGTCAGTTGCCTTCAGGCAAACGCCTCAAACTGTTATTTTGTATTAAGTATTAAAAAGGACTGTACTATTGCTTGATTCGAAGGCCTGTTGCCCTGTTGATTACAATAAATAGGTCTTAAAAACCTGACTGTTCAGTATTTATATCCATTACATTTAAAAAGCAGACATAAAAGTAACCTAAAAGTTACTTTCCAGAGTAACTAGTTAATTTTGATACACAGTAACTGGTAAGCAATTCAATTACCTTTAAAAAAAGTAACTAGTAACTGTAACTAAATACTCATTTTCAGTAACTTGCCCATCACTGTTCTTTACGCACCGTCGCGTCGACGCGCTGGTTTCACTTCCTGGTTGTAAAGTCGTGCGTGTGTTGCAGAGCGATTCACCTCCAGAACAACAGGTGGAGTCACGTGTTTTGTTGAAGACGACCTGGAGAGTCACGTCTTTGTGTGTGGAAGTCGCTGGTTGCTTTATTTATTTATCATAGACTTTATTGCCCCGTGCATCCACACTGCTGCTTTTCATCACGGACACATTTGTCCCGTATTTTCCTCCACGACTTTGTCCCCCTCGTTTGTGGAGATCTCCCTCCATGAATCAGAGGCCATCCGGCGTCCTCATAGTCCGCCAATGACGGCTTGTACAAGCGCTCATATTTAAAAGCTCTTCAATCTGATCCGTTCTCTCGTAAACGTTCTTCCTTTTAATAACGGCCGTATTGTGCTGTGAAAACGGAGACGTGAGACTCTAAAGGACGTAGTCAGAGACCAATCACAGCCTGGTGGAGTGTGTGAGGCTTGCAGAGCTTTTGACGCTAGACAACAAGACACAAATTGTTTCTTACTCTCTTTCCTTTCTGCTCAACAACAAAACTAAACTTAACCAACCAAATGTTCTCACACACCGGAAGAAAACGTGTTGAAATATTTTATAGCATTAATCTCGGCCACATTAATCACATAGATTAATGTGTTAATGTTGACAGCTGTACTTTTTATACATTTTGTATTTTAACAAATACTTAATGACATATTCTATTTTACAATGGTGCCAGTTTTATTTCATTGACACATTATTATGAATTTATTTTTGTTGTAATCTATTTCACTTCAGAAGTTGGGTTTACCTGTGACAGTCATTCTTCTCTCTACAGCGGGGTGCCCAACCACATAAAGAATACCTTTTCTTTTTGTCATTCGACTTTTTTATGAAAAATGTTTTATTTTGAAAATGGACCAGATTATGTCTTAATGGCGTGCGCTCATCCCTCTTGACACATTTCCCGAGTGTTACCTCCATGAAATGTTGTCTAACATGAAAACGGTCCATGAGGGAAAAAAGGTTGGGGACACCTGCTCCAGTGTTCCGTTGTTGACAACAGGTTACATTTAAGTATTAATACAATTCACATTTGTGGTTTATTTAAAAAGTTACATTCCCTTGTTGTACTAAAAACATACCAATCCAGGAATTCTGTGTACGGTCACACAAATATGATGCAGCTTGTAAAACAGTTTCATCAAACTGTAAAAAAATAATTTTCCACAAAGTGTAACGTAGCGATGTATGATGAAAAGTAATTGTTATTGTTCCTTTCATGTATTCAGCTGAGGTTCTGCTTCTCTGTTCTCCTCAGTCTGATGACTCGGAGGTCTGAAGCAAGACATTTTAGTACGAACACAATAAATAAGGTGTAAGTTCACCAGCCAGAACCTTTGTGCTTAAAGTTTAAACCCGTCTGTGGTGTCATTCCAATCATCACTGTCATCAGTCTCAGGCTCGGAGGAGTCTGCAGTCTTGTCAACAGGTTCTGGACCCAAGTTTCTGTCTGGTTCCCCAAAGGCCTCTCCATCAACTTCTGTTTTCATTGCTTCAGTTGAGCTGCCGGCTGGTGGTTCCGCCTCTCTGTCCTCAGCCTGACCTTGTTGAAGCTGTAGGGACTGATGGCCGACGCACTTATGTTTCCTCAGCTGATAAAACCAAGTGAAATTTTGGCAACAGACGCTACAGCTGAATCTCTTCTCTTCTGTATGTTTTTTCATGTGTTCATTCAAGTTGCACTTGCCAGGAAATCTTTTACAACACACTGAACATTTGAATATCCTCTCTGCTGTGTGAACTCTCTTGTGTTTCTTCAGACTTTCCTGGGAGCCAACTCGTTTCCCGCACTCAGAGCAGCTGAATAGTTTCTCCCCAGTGTGGATTCTCATGTGCTTTTGTAAGTTTCCACTCTGTGAAAAGCATTTCTTGCAAACGGAGCAGCTGAACGGTTTCTCTCCTGTGTGAGATCTCAGGTGTATCTTTAGATGTGTCTTTTTCCTAAATCTTTTCCCACACTCTGAGCAACTCAGTGGTTTCTCTCCTGCACCACATACTGAACCTGGCTGAGGTTCCTGAGGTTCCTTAGTCTTCTTCCAGTCATCACTGTCATCAGTCTCAGGTTCAGAGGAGTCTCCTATCCCTTGAACAGTATCTGAACCGGAGTTTCTGTCAGGTTCTCTACCTCCACAGTCCTCTCCATCAGCTTCTGCTTTCATGTGGTCAGTTGATCTGCTGGCTGGAGGGTCTGCATCTTTGTTCTCCTCGGTTTGAGGGTAACGAAGCTTTGAGAAACGACGGCCAACACATCTATGATCTTTGAGCTGTTTACACCAAGTGAATCTCTGCTCACACACACTGCATCTGTAGATTTTGTGGACTTCCACATGTTTGGTCAGATGTCTCCTCCACGCAAACTCTTCACCACAAATTGTGCAATTAAACCGCATCTGCATTGTGTGGATCCTCATGTGCTGAACTAAAGCCTCGCTGTCACCACAGTCCGTGTTACATACTGAGCAGCGGAAAGGTTTCTCCCCAATATGACGCTTCATGTGAGAATGTAAGCTTTCCTGCTTGTCAAATATTTGACTACAAAGGGAGCAGCCAAATGGTTTCTCTCCCGCAGGGGAGTTCCCGTGGGCCGGCAGAGTGAGACCGCACTCAGATCTTTGGTGACAATCAGAGAAGATGGAAGGTTTCATGTCGGTGTTACATCCTGGATCTCTGACAAAGACCTGCTCACTTTTAAGAAGCTTTGAACCTGATGGAGATTGATCACCATCACCTTCGTCATCAGCCATGGGTTCAGGTTCAGTCCTGTCATCAGAGCAGCTGAATGGTTTCTTGCTGCCTTTAAATCCATCATCCACGGAGACTTTTCTATTTCTCTGGTACGTAAACCCTGACTGGTGTTTCCTGGTCTCTTTCCAAAACTCGACGTCAACACTGTCCTCATGTTCAGAGGACGGTTCAGTCTTCTCATGAGTATCTGGTTGTGGAAGACTATCTAGATTTGAGTTCCTGTCCAGTTCTGGTCCTCTACAGTCCTCTCCATCACCTTCTCTCTCCATCAGTTCAGTTTGTTTCTGATGAAGCTGTGAGGACTGAACTTCCTCTTCATCATCTTCACTCTTCACTTGCGTGAAGATGAACTCGGTGATATCCGCCTGCTCCAGCCGTTGGAGCCTCTCTGCCTCTTGACTGGTGCAGAGTTCCTCCTGCTCCTCTTTAATGTGGGGGGGCTCTGGGTCCTCCTGCTCCTCTTTAATGTGGGGGAGCTCTGGGTCCTCCTGGTCTAAGCTGGAGCTCCACTCCTGCTTCTCTTCTTTAACCACCAACATCTGGACGTCTGTAGGAATCAGGAAACACATTTAGGAGAGTTAATGTTAACATAGTTGAGACCCTAATATTACAATCTTAGCGTGATCACTAATGCCAATTTAATTCATAAGAACTCATTTTACTCAAAATATCTTACCTCTATAACGGATTTATAAATCACAAACACATAGATTAGCATGACTATCAACACCTGCAAGGCAACAGGCCCGGACAACATCCCTGGTTGTGTGTTGAAGGGCTGCACAGAGGAGCTTAAGTACGTCTTTAATTCTATTGCTCCATCATACCTGTGCCTAACGTGACCAGCTGGGGAGGGAAACACCTTGTTGTGTAACTGGCTGCTGGACTTCCTCAGTGAGAGGCCACAGCAGCTCAAGCAGCATCACGCGGCGCATCACTGTGTGGGGCAGAAGCTGCACTGACTACAACAGGAAAGCCCCGTGACGCACAGTGAACACAGCAGGAGGGATCGTTGGTGCCTCAGTCGCCTCCCTGCAGGACAACCTGCTCACATGTAAAGTGAGCGATTCCAGCCGCTCTGAAGGCCGCCGCGTGTTTCTGCGTCTTCACGCGTCGACGCACTGGTTTCACTTCCTGGTTGTAAAGTCGTGCGTGTGTTGCAGAGCGATTCACCTCCAGAACAACAGGTGGAGTCACGTGTTTTGTTGAAGACGACCTGGAGAGTCACGTCTTTGTGTGTGGAAGTCGCTGGTTGCTTTATTTATTGATCATAGACTTTATTGCCCCGTGCATCCACACTGCTGCTTTTCATCAAGGACACATTTGTCCCGTATTTTCCTCCACGACTTTGTCCCCCTCGTTCGTGGAGATCTCCCTCCATGAATCAGAGGCCATCCGGCGTCCTCATAGTCCGCCAATGACGGCTTGTACAAGCGCTCATATTTAAAAGCTCTTCAATCTGATCCGTTCTCTCGTAAACGTTCTTCCTTTTAATAACGGCCGTATTGTGCTGTGAAAACGGAGACGTGAGACTCCGTAAAGGACGTAGTCAGAGACCAATCACAGCCTGCTGCTGCAGGAGGCTGCGTCGCTTTACACGCTGGTCTAGAAAAATGGGTCGACGCACGCAAGGAGGCGTGAAAAGACACGCAAGGGACACGCAGGGGACACGCAGGGGACACGCAGGGGGGTCTTGCGTTTCCTTGCAGAAGCATGAACTGGGCTTTGCAGCGTCTCTTCGGCCCTTTGTTGGGACGCTGAACTCTTGCTGCCCGTCTGACCGCTGCTTATTTTTTGCACTTCATCATTATATGTTGAAATGGAGAGAAATGGTTCATCAACTCGTGTATGTTACATGCTACATTGGCTACAAATGACTGACTAGTAAAAGCAGTTGTAATTTTAGTGCTATTAGTATAAGTAGTATCAGAAGTGTTAAGTTTATGAGACAAGACACTGCTACAACCGAGAAGGTAAACTTGGTACTACTACTAACACTACCTGTAAGAACTCAATGTGCTACTAGTATAAAGTCACAGTAGAAGTATGAAACAGCGGAGAACGGACTCACTTAAGTGCGTGTTATTAGCGCGTGAGGAGTAATCGCACTTCGTTACTTTGCTCCAGTGTTTCCTCAAACAGGAAGATACAAAAAGCCTCATGAAGACAATAATCGATCCTCAACACGCAGTGAGGGCTGTTAGCTGCTAACAGGCTGTATGTGGACGCTGTAGCTAACGTTAGCTTAGCACGGACGCCAGTCAGTAAAGCAAGAAAACCAACCTGCTTCTCCCCGCAGCTCCATGTCGGCCCTTAAACCCACACCGATCTCCTCCTCACATCCGGGTATTGTTGTGTCCAAACGTCCAATGAGATGAGCGCGAGCCGCAGTGGGACATGCTAACACAGCCGCACATGCTAACACAGCCGTACATGCTAACACAGCCGCGCAGACCCGGAAGGACTACCAGCTGCCGTCGGTGCGCTCCTCTAGCTTCACAGCAGCAGGTCGGGGCTGAATTGGGAAGGTTCCTCGCTGAGTGACATGACTCACAAGTAGTGTAAATAGTAGAACTCACTGCCGATAATTCCGTCCCACAATTCCTTGCGGCGGCAATATTTAAATAGTGACGTTTCATTCGGCCATGACGTAGAAAAGATGATCATGTGAGTAACTGTTAGCATAACTGGTTCATGTTGCAGCCTTGTTAATAAAGTTTTACTTTGAACCTGGTTGTTTGTGTGTCTGCGTGTGTAACGACACACACGGTCCGTCACTCACAGCGTCTCACGTCGCATCTTATCGTCAAATCGCGTCTGTCTTCCTCCTCAGGATTCTCCCTTGATTCAAAAAGAACAAAAAAATACCTAAAGTTCATCGTTAATGACTATTCCTCTGTGGAAAACGTCACGGCGTCAAAGAAAGATGGTTAGAATAATTCAGTTGAGTGACAGCGGCTACAAACACGCATAAAAATAGAATAAGATTTCCCTTTACAAATATACATTAAGAAATTCTGCATGTTGAACCACCCTGTACAGAGATGTATGTATGATACTGAATACCGTGGCTTTTCATACTTTATTATATTAGTAATATTCCCATTATAAAAGTATATAGATCTCATGATGCCATTCTGTATGGCATGAGTTTTTGTAGCCTATATATTGATTTATGTATCGCACCTATGTTTAATTGTTATTTTTATATGAAACCCCATGGTTATAATAAGAATTCAGAGTCATAACTACGGCTCTGACGTTTATAACAAACCAAACCGTTTACAATCGGCTGAAAATTGAACACGTTCTGGTTATTAAGGACATGTATCACCAACAGTGTTATGGGTGAGCGAGCTGCCTGTACCAAGATGGCCGCCATGTGCGGACCTTCTACTCCGTTGGCCGGCAACGAGACATCTAGCCTTTATATATATATCTTGTGTATTATGTATTATCATGGCGCCACTTCCACCACTTCACTTCATTCAGTGAGGAACCTTCCTAAGAAGAAAGAACTGTTGCAACGCAGACAACTACTTCATTTAGCATCGGGTGTCAAGCAGGATTTAAAAATAAATGAGCAATCAATACAACATATTAAATATAGAAATAAAGGTTGCAGAAATGTCATTTCTGCTTTTAAGCTTATCACTATTTTAATCTAGCAACTACAACTATACAGAAACAAGAAAGTGCAATTTCATCAAATAAGCCGATGTACAACTTGCTGTAGATAAGAACCATTATAAGTCCAATGTAAGTGCTGCAGTTAGTGTGTTAGTGGAGGTAGAGTGTGTCTTTAGTCTGAAGATGTGAAGGCTCTCTGTGGTCCTGAACACGTTGAGTGTTGATTTAACACTGACAAGATTGGGACAATATAAATACCAGCTTAGAGTTCAAATTGAATCTCAGAGTCAATTTAACTCTGTATTTAAAAAGTGTATGATGACAATTAATTTTACACTTCATTAAAAGAAATGGACCCTGAAGAAGGAAGTGTCACTCACTCTACACCTCAGGATGTAGTGGCACTGATGAAATATGAGGTTGGAGTTTGGTTTGTCTCTTCAGAATCAGGAAACATTTATTGCCAAAATATGTCATTTTACAAGGAATTTGTCTTGGCGGTTGGTGCAAATAGACAACAAGACAGCAGTGCACAAGTAAAGTAAAGTGCTAATGCAATGGGTTAGTAGAATAAGGCTATGGGTTAGTATAAAATAAGAATAAAGGGAAAAAAAAATAAAGTGCACTATCGAACAAGTGACAAAGTGACGAGTGAGAAATGACAGTAAAGTGACATGTGCAGTGTGAAGGAGTGACCGGTGGGATGTCAGAGTCAGGCAGTGGGGGACCGGCTCTGTTGATGAGCCCGACTGCCGACGGGAAGAAACTGTTGGTGTGGCGGGAGGTCTTAGTCCTGATGGACCTCAGCCTCCTGCAGATGGAAGGGGCACAAACAGGTTTTGTCGGGGTGAGAGGGGTCGGCTATGTCTGTTTTAGCTCGCGGTTGAGCTCCAGGTTGTTGTGGCTGCACCAGGACACCAGATGGTGAGACTCCACCTGTAGGCGGACTCGTCCCCACCAGAGATTAGTCCAATGAGGGTGGTGTCATCCGCAAACTTCAGGAGCTTGACGGACTGGTGACTGGAGGTGCAGCTGTTGGTGTACAGGGAGAAGAGCAGAGGGGAAAGAACGCAGCCTTGGGGGGAACCGGTGCTGATGGTCCGAGAGGCTGAGACATGTTTCCCCAGCTTCACGTGCTGCTTCCTGTCAGACAGGAAGTCTGTGATCCACTTGCAGGTGGAGTCGGGCGGTGCAGCTGGGAGAGTTTGTCCTGCAGCAGAGACGGGATGATGGTGTTGAAGGCAGAGCTGAAGTCCACAAACAGGATCCTGGCGTAGGTTCCTGGGGGTCCAGATGCTGGAGGATGTAGTGGAGGACCTTGTTGACAGCATCGTCTACAGACCTGTTGGCTCTGTAGGCGAACTACAGGGGGTCCGGGAGGACATGTCAGTGAACACCGGAGACAGCTGGTCAGCACAATGCTTCAGGGTGTGGGGGGAACTATTAAAATGAGCTCACTTGCACAAGTAACACTGCCGGTTTAAACGCTCATGATCGCAAATGAGTGCAAAGTAACTAGGGATATTAAGTTGCATTAGATATGTCAGAGGCATCATTATACCCGTAGTGATGCCTGTTAGGTGGTTCGTTTGGGGCCTCGAGGGAGATCGCACGCCTTTATTCTCGTCCCGGCTGGAAACGATGAATCATAAGAATCAACTGGCTGAAATGTTCAAATCAAAAAGTATTTAATAACTAAACCAAGTGATAAGGAATACAATTACAAAGTGAAATACAATGCAAACAGTGAAATATTTCACAAAATAGAGAATTCTCGGACCAAGACTTATCAAAGCGGCTACAGGAAAATGTATTCTGCAGTTTTAAGGCGCTGGCATGCAGCTGCGACTGCGGCTTTTTGCACAGTCGTGGACTCGTTTCAATGGTTCTAAAAGTCCTGCGTGTGTTGCAGAGCGAGTCGCCTCCAGAACACCAGGGGGAGTAACGTGTTTTGTCGTAGACGACCTGGAGAGTCACGTCTTTGTGTGTGGAAGTCGTTGGTTGCTTTATTTATTTAGATCTCCCTCCGGTCTGAGAGCTGATCCTGCCTGTCCTCCGGTGTCCGATCTACGGGAAGCCACGTGGACTACGGCCCGCCGTGTGGTCCCCGAGCACAGGCAGCCCGGTGAGGAGCGAGCACCTCTCAGGTTCTACTTAAGCCTGCCCGAACCGCTCTGCTGTTCTTCACCTAATGCTGGACCGGTGGTTGCTATTGGGTGGCGGCCTGAACTCCACCGAAGCATGAATTTGTTTACAGGAATCAGACTGAATCCACCATGACGGGGGGCATCGGTAAATCCACCCCCTGGATTCTGTTGGCAAAGGATCACAAATGAGTCATTCATTATGTTTTAATATTTGATGTTGGTTCATATCTTTAACAATAAAAATGTTACATGTGTAATTTAAATAGACATGTCTCCACTGTAGGAGTCCAACACCAACGAGTCCCATCAGAACTACAGGTCCTCTGGATGAGGGGCTCATTAAGCAGAGCGCCTCCTCACTGAGGACTAGACCACGACATTATACTGGTACATCGATGAGGTCACTGACAGGCTTTTCAAATCAGATTGTTTTACCATATGAAATTCTAGTTTTTTACAATATGCAATATTATTGCAATTTTATGCCAATAATAACATGATGACAATAGTAATACAAGTACGCTCAAAGAACAAAGAAGACGTTAGAATCTGAATGTGAAAAAATATAACCTAATGTCTAAGTGAATAAAAGAAATAAAACTAAAAAGAAGTGCAAGGGACGCGGAGCGTGCGAAGGATCGGGCTTGATGCGATGCGGTCGGGTTCGAGAAAATGTGTCCAGCGGGAAAGATGCAGTCGAGGAGGTTTAACGTCTCGAGGGGCTTTGACCGGCGGCAGGGCGACGCGCTCCGTGGCCGAGGGGAGAGACGGGCGACCCGGGAGGAACGCAGGGCGACGTCCCCACGGAGCCAACGAGCAGTCCGGAGGAACCGACGGGGGTTCAGGTTGAAACACCGGGCGGATGGTTGTTGTTTGAGGTGAGATTTGAGCTCCGTGTGTCTCCGTTGCCACGGTTTCTAAACAAAGTTCACGTTATCGGCTCTCTTCCCTCATTCGGCTTAAAGGCAAAATGTTTCCAAACTGAAGCCGAACATTGTGCCATCGTACCGGGTTCAGTTGTAGATGTTACGAAAAAGAACCACTTTATAACATGGTGAGTTCACGGCTTCTCCTCACCGCTGCCTGAGCGCTCCACAAGGAAAAGGAGGCAGCGCGATCGACTTAAATGTTGGTGACGTTCATTTATATGTAAAAGGAATATCACAGCACCGAAAATGATTGCACTCGACTTCAGATAGTGTGCAATAAGTTAATTTATCGCATATCGCCACAGTGAGGGTCGATCCTCCACACACGTCCCAGAACAGCTGCGCCACAGTCCGTCTCGTCACAGGTTACCTTTGCTTCGGATCGCAAATCAGGACAAACGAGGTGCCGCCGTGATCGTTCCCAGACGGATCCGATCACGGTGCAGGAAAACGCCGGCAGTAGACGAAGCAGAATGTTGAAGAAAGAAAACAGTCGTGTGGATGTAACCGGATGGACGCCATCTCCATCGAACACTGGGAGGTTAGCTGCTGATTTAAAAATAAAAAAGAAGTCAGAAAGGGTGAATTTAAACACAGAAAAGCACAAAGAGGAAGAGAAGTGATTAAGGAGACTTTAGAATTACATTAATCAAGCTTGAACTTGGAAACAACATTCACAAAACATTTCTCAACAAAAGGTCCAAATCAGCTACAACCTGGGCCATTTAATGAAGTATTAAAGGGTAATTCATGTTGTGGAGTTAAGATAATAAGAATCGTAAATGGATTTATGAAGCAGTTCTCAAAGTTCTTTCTTTTATTGGACTTCTTTCAGTTGGGGAAACAATTGCTGTGTTTTATTCAACTAACTCATTTTGAAATATTTAACATGCATTTTCAGATCTTTGAAAATGTTCAAAAGCGTCGTCCCCTTTGTACCTCACAACCATTCAATAAATACCAATAAATATTGATAAATATAGAAATTAGAAAGGAAACAGTGGTGTTGCAGAAGAGCACATTCACCTTTATATGTTGGACATTTGTTTCATTCCTCGAGGACTCTCCAGTCTCGTCAAAAGTATCATGTTCCGACACCGCGTTCCTGTCTCCTTCTGCTCCTCCAGTCCTCTGCATGGGCTCCGTTTCCCTTTGTTCAGTCAGTTTTTGATGAGGCGAAAGACCGATGACAAACGTACTGATGGTGTTTGAAGCTGGTGTACCAGGGGAATCTTCTGTTACAAACACTGCAGTTGTACAGTTTGTCTCCTGTGTGGATGCTCATGTGTTGTCTTAGACTTCCCGCCTGCGTGAAACTCTTCCCACACACAGAGCAACTGTAAGGTTTCTCACCTGTGTGCGTCATCATGTGTCTCTTCAGATGAGCCTTACGCAGAAATCGCTTGTCACAGAGCGCGCAGCTGAAAGGTTTCTCTCCTGTGTGGATTCTTATGTGTGTCTGTAAGGTTTCTCTCCGTCCAAAGGATTTCTTACAAACTGAGCAGCTGAACGGTTTCTCTCCATTGTGAGACCTCATGTGTCTGTTCAGACAAGTCTTGAGGCTAAATCTTTTTTCACACTCACAGCAGCTAAATGGCTTTTCAACAGAACTACATATGGAACCACTGAAAGAGTTTAACCCTGACCCAGGTTCTCTGGTCTCCTTCCAATCATCACTGTTATCAGTCCCTGGTTCAGAAGAGTCTTCATCCTTATCAACAAGTTGTGGATGTCTATATAAACCTGGGTTCCTGTCTGGTTCTGGTCCTCCACAGTCCTCTCCATCACCTTCTGTCTCCATCTGTTCAGTTTGTCTCCGGTGAAGCTGTGAGGACTGAGCTTCCTCTTCATCATCTTCACTCTTCATAGGAGTGAAGGTGAACTTGGTGATATCAGCCTCCTCCAGCCCTTGAAGCGGCTCTCTGTCCAGACTAGTACAGAGTTCTTCCTGTTCCTCTTTAATGAGGGGGGGCTCTGGGTCCTCCCGGGCCAGACTGGAGCTTCTCTTCTGCTGCTGGACATCTGCAGGAAGCCGAATGAAGGACAGACACATTACTGACTGACCACTCAGACTTGACTTAAATTTAAAATAAGTTAAACAATAATAATAAAACTTTTTTGTATTTGTGAAAGGACCAGATCATCTGGAACAATGTTCCACTAGCGCAGTAAATCTGTCTCTTCGCTTTAGTTTTGTTCTATTTGAAGAAAGTTAGCCGGCGCCTTCGTGATAAATTCCGTTTCCTTTGGTTGTGATTCAACCGAAAGTCTTTCCACCCCAAAAAAAAGTTGAATGGCGGTTTTGCTTTTGAAAACAGACAGACAAGATAAAGATTATACCCTGGATTAGTTAGTGAACATTATATCACACGGTACCTTTGAACAAAGCAAATCTTTGATCACAAACGCTGCATCTTGGCTCGTTGCCTGATTTTCCATGCGTTCATTCACATTTTCAAACAACGCGAGCAGCCAAAAGGTTTCACCCCCGTGTGAGATCTCATGTGCACATTCAGACTACTTTCACTGAAAGCGCTCACAAGTCGGAGCAGCTGACGGGTTTCTCACTGGTTTGAGTTCTCCTTCCTGGCAAAGAATTTCTCACAAACTGATCAGCTGGATGATTTTTTCCGATCTGATGCATCAGGTGGTCCTTCTGGGTTCCCGTTTTAACAAATCTTTTCACAAGCACGGAACGGACGATTGTTTTATCTCCTGAATCACACCTGAATGAAGAAGTTTCTGTTACCTCTCGCTAACAGAAACTTCTTCATTGTCATCATCGTTCAGCGAGTTTAAACCTGATTGAGGTTCTCTGGTCAATATCAACACTATCATCAGTAGCTGGTTCTGGACCGGAGTTCCTGTCTGGTTGTGGTCCTCCACCGTCTTTTCCATCACCTTCTGTCTCCATCTGTTCAGTTTGTCTCTGATGAAGCTGTGAGGGCCGAGTTTCCTCTTCATCATCGTCACTTTTCACAGGAGTGAAGACCTTCATGTCAGCCTCCTCCAGTCCTTGAAGCTGCTCCTCTTTAATGTGGGGGGGGTCTGGGTCCTCCTGGTCCAGACTGGATCTCCACTCGTGCTGCTCTGGGGGAATGCCGTCTAAAAGAAAGAAAGAAGCCACTGAAATAAAACGTGATATAATCATGGTGCACGGTTAGTTGGTATTGGTTGAGACGTCTCTCCGGTTTTTCGCACTAAAAGTGTAATTAATATTAAAAATGAAAGACTACAATGTTCCTCTTACGAATACACCACAGAAAAAAGCCCCCCCCCAAAAAAATATATACACACACACACACACATATAAAACCTGTGTGGGTCAGTGAAAAGCATTCAGGCGATATGTTCTGTTAGACACGTTAGCAAAGGGTTGCTAACCTCAGCTAACACTATCTGGCGCAAGCTAGCAGTCTTTCACGCAGCAGGAGCTAACAGGAGCTAACAGGAGCTACCTCTAGACAGGGGACGCTAGCATCTCTCCATGTCTGATGTGTACTGCAGCCTGGGGGCTGAGATTAGCGAACAGTAGCTAACGCGGGGATTCCTCCTCGGACTGACCTGCCCGGTGCAGCTTGACTTGGGGCTTCAGCACGGCGTCGAGCAGCCTCCTCTGGCGACAGATCTCCCGTTCTGAGCGCTCAGCTCGCTCTTCGTATCCCGCCACGGTTTCCTCGAACAGACCGACAATCTCCTCCGCAGCTGCCGCTAGCCGCTCGGTGAGCAGCGCTCTCAGTGCCGCGACTTCAGCCGCTTCTTCTCCCTTTTCCACCCGCAGCAGAACGTCTTCGGCGGCGGCGCCGAGCCGCTCGCGTACCGATACGCGCAGCAGCCGCACGGCGCACATTTTGCTCCTTTTCTGCGGACAAAGAGAGCCAGCGGGACCGCGAACACACGCACGGAGTTCTGCGTCGACGACAGTTCGCTGGGAGGAAAGCGAAGCGAACAGCGAACTCTGGCGGACCGGAGGGCGAACAACGAAGAGCACCGCGGTACTGAACTACCAGTATATTTAACGTTACTCAAGTACTATTTTGGGGGTTGTTTATGTGAGCATTGCCATTTCATCTCAGAGGTACATATTGTAGTTTTTGATGTTTTGTCTCAGGGGTACTAAAGAGGTACTTTACTACACCTCGAAGAAGAAAAGGGAGAAGAAGCAGAGGAAGCTGATCAGGGGCAGTTTTCAGCGTTTTGCACACCCGGGTTTGGTACATCTAAGGGAATCTGACTTTGAATCTGCAGACACTTGGCATTTCCGATCATAACGGCCACTTCCACTACATCCGGGTCATTTCACTCAGTAAAGAACCTTCTTAAGCAAAAAGGATTATTCTAATCCAGCATGGGACTTTTTGGACCATGTTGGTGATTATATTCTATGTACCCTCAAGAAAAAAAAAGTACGTAATTGGAGGTTGTATCAGAATTAAGAACTCTGAGAAGCCATCTGTAAAAGTTAAACATACTGAACAGAAAACTCATAACTCATTTCTCAAATATTAATTTTCTGTAAATATTAGCATTTTCATGTCCATCTAAAATATGCAATATACTTCTATAAAACTGTAGTACGTTGTGAATGATTACGCCCTTTCTATCCTCTTGTAGACGATCAGCGTCATAAGTTAAAAGATGTTTCATTTATTAAGGATAAACAGCTTTGACATGACTGGTGATCACAGACATTTATTGAATACACATTTAGTAGTATCATAGAAAGATGTGTCAGCATATCCGCAAAAAAGGCTCAGTTGGAGGACTTTGCAGAGACGATTACCGTGGGAATCATCACGTAGGTGGTAGCGCCATGAGTACCACGTACCCGTCTTCGCAGTCTCCCTGAAGTCAGTGGCGTTTTTTACGACAAAGGGAGAACGCCTCATGCACTTTTGTTAAATAGAGGAGAAAAATATATCTTGACAACAGAAATGGTCGGTGTGAGCAGGGGTCACCAAGTAACATTAGGTAAGGCATCGATCCCTGTCCACGGCTTCAGTTACCGATGGCCAAGCCGACACACTTGTGACTCCTGACCTGCGACTGCCACGTGAACCTTTTGTCGCAGACACCGCAGCTGAACTGCTTCTGGCCCGTGTGTAGCGAGAAGTGGTATGTCAGGTTGGCTTTCTGAGAAAAGGTTTTGTCACACACCGGACAGCCGAAGGGTTTCTCTCCCGTGTGGACTGTCATGTGCTTCTTCAGACCTCCCTTCTGGGTGAAGCTCTTGTCGCAGTAAAGACAGCTGAACGGCTTTTCCCCCGTGTGGATCCTCAAGTGATTCATCAGGCCGCTGCGCACTGCAAAACTGGCGTCACAGAAGGAGCAGCGGAACGGTTTCTCCCCGGAGTGACACCTCATGTGGCGGATCAAGTTCGGCCTCTGCGAGAAGCCTTTGCCGCATGCGGAGCAGCCATATGGTTTCTCTCCCGTGTGAAATCGCATATGTCGCAGTAGGCTGTCTTTGCGACAGAACGTCCGGCCACATTCACAGCAGATGAAAGATTTTTTGGATTCATTAAATTCCACGTTGTCTACAGGAACGTCACCTTTATTTAGAGAGTATAAACTGGACTGATGTTTGCTGGTATCATCACACAGATTAGTCTGAGGTTCAGAAGAGTCTCCGGTCTTCTCTACAGTCACTGGACCGGAGTCTGGTCCTCTACACTCTTCTCCATCACCTTCTGTCTTCATCTGTTCAGTTTGTCTCTGATGAAGCTGTGAGGACTGAACCTCCTCTTCTTTACTCTTAACAGGTGTGAAGGTGAATATGGTGATACCAGCCTCCTCCAGCCCTTGAAGCGGTTCTCCCGCCTGACTGGTCCAGAGGTCCTCCTGTTCCTCTTTAATGTGGGGGAGTTCTGGGTGTTCCTTGTCTAGACTGGAGTTCCACTCCTGCTCCTCTTCAGTCTCCAAAGGCTGCTTGACGTCTGTAGGAAACAGAACACACACATCGATTAAATTATCTGATGTTCACCAACATCAGATATAGAACATTAGATCAAACTATATTACTCCAACAGCAAGGGGGGGGCAGTAGTACCCTCGTTACCCCGCCTCTGTGCTCAGTATGAAAGGAGTGGAGGGGTTGTTCAGCTGTTGATCAACTAATGGAGGTTGTCATGGAGAAGACTACAGGGAGATGAAAACAAGCAGCTCACGGCAGCTAGCAGCTAACAAAGAACGAGAATGTTAAGACTGACCATCATTGCTTTTAATCAGATCGATTCATTCACAATTTCTCCACCAAACGGTCAAGTGTGACGTTCACTCAAGATAATCACTTGTGTCAATGGGGACGACCTTAACCTAACGTGTTCCGTAACCGACCATCTGACCGCCATCACTAATGACATCATCGTTATCATGGATACAGTGAAGTTAGCAGAAAATAAAAATCTGTATCTAACGAGAATTGAATTGGTTGATGTTGATGACATGTCAGCTGAGATGAGATTCCGGTGTCAAGGGGGACACAGTCTTATGATGGTCTGATGCAAGTCTCCATCACAATAACAGGAGGCCTGGAACAACCAGACCTCTATACGTGCGCAATCCTCCCCTTGTGAATGATACCATATCTCAAGTATAAATAGTGGCTCCGGAAAGAAGACCTTTGAGTAGGCTTGGCGCATGACCTCTATGTGTGTCAACTCTGTATACGAACATTAAATGTCCTGTTTGAATGATTTTACACTGATGTTGGGTATTTATTTTTCTAACAAAGTGTCTTATTGGTCCACACGAGTAGAACAATGTACAGTGTAGCCAATCCAAGAGCTAGGATGAACGGTGGCGCCCTGTGGAGGAACAGGCCGAGTGTGACAACGTTGATTGGCACCATGAACAGATCAATAACAATTATTGATAAGTAATAGCATTATAGCACTGAGCCGCTAGCTCTTAAACACAGCTGGCTGCCAGCTTGTCCAAGACATACAGCTGTGCTCATAAGTTTGCATACTCTGGCAGAATGTATGATTTTTCAGAAAATATGAGTAACAAACACTTTTCTTTCCCTCATGGTTAGTGGTTGGTGAAACCATTTATCATCGAACAACTGTGGTTTACTCTTTTTAAATCATAATGACAACAGAAACTACCCAAATGACCCTGATCAAAAGTTTACATACCTCAGTTCTTAATATCGTGTATTGCCCCCTTTTACATCAATGACATTTTGAAGTCTTTTGTGGTAGTTGTGGATGAGGCTCTTTATTTTCTCAGATGGTAAAGGTGCCCATTCGTCTTGGCAAAAAGCCTCCAGTTCCTGTACATTCTTGGGCATGAACTGCGTGTTTGAGATCTCCTCAGAGTGGCTCAATGATATTGAGGTCAGGAGACTGAGATGGCCTCTCCAGAACCTTTACTTTATTCCGCTGTAGCCATTGACAGGTCGACTTGGCCTTGTGTTTTGGATTGTTGTGATGTTGGCACATCCAAGTACGTCCCATGCGCAGCTTCCGGGCTCATGAGTGCATTTTCCTCCAGTATTTTCTGATAACATGCTGCATTCATCTAGTTTCCTGTGCCTTCACAGAGTGCCTTCCTGTAGCTCACACGTCCCCAAAACATCAGCGATCCACCTCCATGTTTCACAGTGGGAATGGTGTACCTTTCATCATAGGCCTTGTTGACTCCTCTCCAAATGTAACATTTATCAATCAAATGATTTTGTTCCAGAAGTTTTGAGGCTTTCTCTGTGCTGTTTGGCGTATTGTAAGCAGGATACTTTGTGGCATTTGCATAGTAATGGAAACTCCACCATGCAGCCCATTTTTCTTCAAGTCCCTCCTTATTGTGCATCTTGAAACTGCCACACCACATTTTTTCAGAGAGTGCTGTTTTTCAGCTGAAGTTATTTGTGGGTTGTCTTTGCATCCCGAACCATTTTCAATCAATTATGTGACTTTCTACAAAACAATGCTTTGTTCGAGGATGCGCATCATAGTACAGAAACAGCACTGGTGAAAATGACGAATGATCTTCTACTTGCATCGGACCAAGGACTCATCTCTTTTCTTGTCTTGCTGGACCTCAGTGCCGCATTTGATCCCATTGACCATTGTATCCTGTTGCAGAGACTAGAACATTTGATTGGTATCAAAGGAACTGCACTCAGCTGGTTTAAATCCTACTTATCGGACCGATCCCAGTTTGTGCTTGTAAACAGTGAATCCTCAAAGACCACCAATGTCGGTCACGGAGTCCCACAAGGTTCTGTACTTGGACCGATTTTATTTACCCTCTATATGCTATAAGTTTTTTGTGTTATCATTCATATTCTCTGAAAAATGGAAATCATTCATTCTGCCGGGTATATAAACTTATGAGCACAACTGTAGCTGGGTTCATGTTGGACTGTTGAAGATTGGTTTCATTTAGCTGCCGTTCACTGCTAGCTCTTTATAAACACAGCTGTGCTCATTTTGGCTCCTCGGCCCCTTTGGCAGGAGCTGGTTGCTAACAGGTTCTGTGTGTATGTCAATTCCCTAGACTGCATCCTTAAGGACGCATCAGTCGACGGCTACGTCACTTCTGCTGCGACTCGGCTGTACCGTTCCGTCGGCTCCTCCGAACGCGGTCGAGGGACGCCGCCCTCCAGGAGCCGATTTGGAGGACACATCTGATCTATCTTTTGCGGCAGAGCACATCCCAGCATGCAGTGCGGTCCGACGATGATTTAATTTATTCAGGACGGACACGGTGATCCGACAGCAGTTCACTTCTCCTTTTGTTGTGATTATAAACTAACTTTACATTGTGGTTTATTTTATGGAGCAGCATCATGATGGTGACATTCAGCTGTTGTAGCTTGGACATATTCAGTAATATCCGATAAAGTTACCGATAAAATAGCTCGTATCATATGTAAGAAAAAGTCCTTGCATACAAGTTAATAAATGGGTTTGCTGTTGTGGTTTTTATTGACCGTTTTGATGGAATCGCCTTGCCTTAAGATTGCATTAAAACATTTAATTTGAATTTAAAATGACCGGGAAATCCTTAAATGCATTAGAATACTGAGGAGAAGCATATCTTACTAAATTAAATGAATAAAGAATATTAACATCTCTATAGTTGTATCGGGTTTTAAGGCTTTTGTTGTCAAGCGCAGCAGGTTGCTAGGCAACGGGAGCGGTGGAGGACAGACCGTCCCATTCCAGAGACCGCTCGGTTCAGCCTATGCGGTTGTTGGAGGACCAGTCCAGGTCTACCGCCAATGCTGTGTCCCCACTGAGTTGAGACACAGCGACAGTATGGGTGGTTTAACGGCCTCTCTGTGTTGGCGGTTTAGCTAGCTGCTAACGGGCTCTGTTGTGTGGACGAACCAGCTAGCTGCTAACGGGCTCTTTTGTGTGGACGACCTAGCTAGCTGCTAACGGGTTCTGTATAGATGGTTTAGCAAGTGTCACGTTAGCTTCTTAGCATGAGGAATCAACCCACCTGACTGCACGTGGAGCTTCATTTGAGTTGCGGAAGCCGCGCGAAGCAGCTCTCTGTGCCGACAGTCCATCTCCTCCTCATACTCGGTTATCGTCCTCTCAAAGTGTCCCAAAATGTCTTCGACAGCCGCAGTTAGCCGATGGTTGATGAAAGCCTTCAGACCGCGGAGTCTGGACATCTTTGTCAAAGGGCAGAGAAGAAGAGACGAACTATGTTTTCAGACGGTCGCTGGACTTCAGCTCGCTGCGTCACCGAACCATAAAGAACAACACGAACATCCGGGTCACCGCTGGGAAATGATGACAGGCCTTAACGTTTTATCCAATCAATGCTCTTCATTTACCCCGTTACTTATAGTACTTCGTTTATGTACGATATAGTACACACTTGAAGTATTTGTATTTGAGATTATTTTCTTTCCTTGTACTTTTTTCCACTTATAAATATATGAATGTTAATAATAAATGTATTGTAGCGATTGATTGACAACGTGAGCCCTTCACTGACCTTCTAACTTCAGTACATGTGAAACCTCACTTACAGAACATGCCAGCCCGTTGCAGTATTACTAACAAATTAAATTGGTGAAAAGTTTTTATACATCAGTAATGTTGCGATTGTTAATCATGTTTATATATCAGGAGTTAGAAGACTGCACTGTGACTCCTACAGTACTGCATGTGCAGCTTTCCCCGTACAGGAGATTGTTCTATGTTCACATTTCGTTTGTTTTCTTTGTGCTATGCAGTGCTGTATTTTCCTTTCTGTATTGCAATGACGTGGTCTGTCAACAAATTACAGTACAAACGGTAAAAGCGTAAATGTGAATCTTGTCAGTCTCTTGCAATCAATCTCCCACAATTTACAATAAATGTCATCAAAACCTTTGCCATAATTTAGATTCAGAGCCTCCAGAGTACACTGTTCTACACTTTACATGTCATTTAGCTGACGCTTTTATCCAAAGCGACTTACAATAAGTGCATTTCAACCATCGAGTCTCTGAAGTGGGAAATGTTAAGAAATAATCTTTGTATATTCTAACATATATTAATTCGTTATAATCACCTCTATGTAATTGTGTAAGTAGGGATGTAGCTGTAGATATATCGAGGTAGATAATGATTTACAGTTGGACAGAGGAAAGCCAGAAGACGGCCCACAGGAAGTTAGGTAACCTGTTTTTAAATAAGACGCGTGAATAAACGGCTCTAAACCGCCGAGAAAGCTCAGTTCAGCCTGAGCGGTTGTTGGGGGACCAGGTAGACCAGAAAGCTGTCGAAGGCTGCAGGCTTCAAGGATGCAGCCTAGCGACTTTGACAATAGAGCAAAAACATCAGGATGATGGTTACGCAGTTGAGATAAAGGAGGAGTGGTCCACTCCGTCGAATGGTCAAAGAAATGTGTAAACTAAGGTTCTGTAATCTCGCCTCTTCCTGACGAGGGAGAGTGTGTAGCTCCAATAGATCTCCGTGAATGGAGGGATCTGAACCCCCAGTGTGGTCTGTTACTGGGTGTTACTGAAAGTGGCTGGTGTGTGAGGGAGTGTGCCTCACCACGAGTGAGATAAATAAGGTCAACGAGTTAGAGAATAGTATTTATAATACCATAAACATAAGCATTCGCATGAATACAGCAGACTTTGCATGTCAGCAAACAGCCTAAAGGCGACTGTGGGTGGGGAGGTCGTCCTCCAATCAGAGGGTTGGCGGTTCGATCCCAGGCCCGGCTGACCCGCATGACCATGTGTCCTTCGGCAAGACACTTAACCCACATTGCTCCTGTAGCTGTACTGCAGGGTGTGAATGTTAGTTACTGATGGGCAGGTGTGTGTGTGTGTGTGTGTGTGTGTGTGGTAGCTCCTGTCATCAGCGTGTGAACGTGTGAATGATGTCATGAAGCGTTAAAGCACTTTGTGTGGTCAGAAGACTAGAAAAACGCTATTCAAGTACAGTCCATTTACCATTTATAGACTTGCGAGTATTAAGAATATTAGTACTTCTTCTCCTGTCTTCATTTAACACTTTGGTCAGCTGGTTTATTGGAGGAGATTAGTGTGATGTCAAAGTCTGGTCATGTGACAACTAAGCCAGACTAAGAGGATCATTGTTTCTCTCCAGTCTCTGGGTTGTTATGGTTAATTCTCAAAGAAGAATAAGAAGAGAGAGCAAGTGTGTCTTTGGACAACAACTGATTGATGAAGTCATTGATTGACAGATGAAGCTGGAAGACTGGGCCTTGGTTCTGCTGCTGATTGGCTGCGTCTGTCTGCAGAGGGCGGACAGCAGTCTGCCCGACTTCACACCCGCATCACCTCGGCTGCAGGTGGGACAGGTGGGTGCAGATTAACATGTGATGCGAGGGTCATCAATACAAAAAACTCCATGTTTAGGTTAAAAGACAACCATCCAGGAGATGTGGGAGACATGAGGGACATCAGGGGGCTGTTGAACAAAAGTAGAATGAAGAAATCCAGGATAAGTGAAAAGGTGCAGCGTGACTTAGTTTGATCTTCATCGGTTGCACGTTTGCCGAGCCGGGATGAGGAGGAGGAGCTTAGTCCATCCAGATGCACACAGCTGGGATCAGTGCACGTTCACGGCTTTCTTAAGAAGACCACGGTGTCCATCACAGATCTACTGATGCAGAAATGGAGAAGACGCACACGGCGTATTTTGAACCCGCTGAGCAGCAACTAATTATGGAAACTTATGAGGAGGTGAAGCATCTAATATGCAAAAAGGAAAAACGGAAGCTGTAATTAAACAGAGAAAAAATCCTGTCAGACAATCGCGCTCATCACCTTTACAAGTGTTCACTCCTCACTGCGCAGTTTCTCCCATCAGAGACAGAGACCCCCCCTATTTAGACCGGCCCGTGAAATATTGTCTAACATGCAAACGGTCCGTGAGGGAAAGGTTGTGGACCACTGATCTAAACAACTGCAATAGTTTAAAATCAACAAGTAATGCATGTTAATGCAAATAAATCAGAACACATTCAGGAGAATAACTGTTAAACACGTTTATTTGGGATCGGCAGCTGATTTAACACATGAGGCTTCAGAATCAATCTTAAGCCCGGCTGTTAGCCCGGCTGTTAGCCCAGATGTTAGCCCGGATGTTGGCCCGGATGTTAGCCCGGCTGTTAGCCCGGTTGGGTTGTTAGCCCGGTTGTTAGCCCGGATGTTAGCCCGGATGTTAGCCCAGCTGTTAGCCCGGATGTTAGCCCGGCTGTTAGCCCGGTTGGGTTGTTAGCCCGGCTGTTAGCCCGGATGTTAGCCCGGATGTTAGCCCAGCTGTTAGCCCGGTTGTTAGCCCGGTTGGGCTGTTAGCCCGGTTGTTAGCCTGGTTGTTAGCCCGGTTGTTAGCCCAGTTGTTAGCCCGGTTGTTAGCCCGGCTGTTAGCCCGGTCTGGAGCAGGCTAACTGCAAAAAAGAAATCACCACGGTTACTTGGCTGCGTTTAATTCAACCTGCTTTCGGGCAACCAAGTCAAAGCTAAATTCATCAGGATAACGTGAATATCCCGGCTTAATCCCTTATCCTGGTTTCGCGCGGTAGGCCTCAGAACACCCATTTAATTAAACAAGAAGGTGCTTATAAATTCAGGCTCTTGTCATTTATGAATATTTTTTTATTTGTATACTCTTTATGTTTATTTCTGTTTGTCAGGTAGAGTCAGATGTTGTCACTTCTCTGAAGAAGACGACGAATAACAGACTTCGTCGACTTCCTGGACTGTGTCAACGCCTGAAGAGACGCAGGATCACAGTCCTGGTAAACAAAGGGACAGTCTGTGAGACTAAAGACGTGACCTCTTTACCGTAATTATATAGTACCCATACTGTGAAATGACTCCAACAGTAAAACTAGAATACAGTATATTTCTGTATTGTTTTAATCTAAATTTACTGAAATGTAGTCTCTTTGAAAATATACATTAGTGAGAACATTTTGAAAATCAATCTGTTTGGTGCTGAGCACGATATGCAGAATTGTTAATGTTGTTATGAACTTTTAAGAACCATTAAGGGTCACATTACGAAGGTCCTGTGTTCTAACCTTATAAGTAAGAACAAAGACTGTTTGATAATATAATCAGCCATACTATGGAGTACATATTAAAGAGACGCGCAGTAGTTTTACCTACGGTTCACCTATTAAGAGTTCAATACCAATACAGTTAACCCTACAAATGACCACTTCCTTGATCACAGTAAAGCAGTGCATTGTTTCATTTTTTAATTGTTTTATGTACACATTGTATGCAAGAGAGACATGAGTAAAAACAATGCAAACTTCTAATTAAATGCTCTTGGTCATTACTTACTAACAAACATTTTAGGATCAATGTGAGCACATACAGTATACTATATATATATATATATATATATATATATATATATATTTCTTTTCAAAGGAAATAAAAACATAGTAAGCGTTAAGTAAACAAATACAGACAATAGATGTTCTCCTACATTCACTATGTCATGAGCACTGAATAAAACTAAATCCTGTAGCCCTCAATGTCAAGATGTGTTCCAGTCTGAATGAAACATTATGAAGGGTTACATACATGTTTTCCATAACAGTGCCAGCACATGTCTTTTGTTCAATTGCTGTTAAATAACAACTGCCGTGTGTGTGTGTGTGTGTGTGTGTGTGTGTGTGTGTGTGTGTGTGTGTCAGTGTAACAGAGAGAAGTTCTGTTGGCGTGGACGGGCTCAGAAGAATCGGTCTGGCCAGGTGTGTTTCTGTCCGCGGGGCTCCAACTGTTCACACTTCTTTGTTCACAGTCTGTAATACGACCATTTTCCCTTTAAATCACACAATGTCACTCTGTAATAACCACAATGTCACTCTGTAATAACCACGATGTCACTTTGTAATAACCACGATGTCACTCTGTAATAACCACGATGTCACTTTGTAATAACCACGATGTCACTCTGTAATAACCACGATGTCACTCTGTAATAACCACGATGTCACTCTGTAATAAACGCGATGTCACTTTGTAATAACCACGATGTCACTTTGTAATAACCACGATGTCACTTTGTAATAACCATGATGTCACTTTGTAATAACCACGATGTCACTCTGTAATAACCACGATGTCACTCTGTAATAACCACGATGTCACTTTGTAATAACCACGATGTCACTTTGTAATAACCACGATGTCACTTTGTAATAACCACGATGTCACTTTGTAATAACCACGATGTCACTCTGTAATAACCACGATGTCACTCTGTAATAACCATGTCACTTTGTAATAACCACAATGTCACTCTGTAATAACCATGATGTCACTCTGTAATAACCACGATGTCACTCTGTAATAACCACGATGTCACTTTGTAATAACCACGATGTCACTCTGTAATAACCACAATGTCACTTTGTAATAACCACAATGTCACTCTGTAATAACCATGATGTCACTCTGTAATAACCACGATGTCACTCTGTAATAACCACGATGTCACTCTGTAATAACCACGATGTCACTTTGTAATAACCACGATGTCACTCTGTAATAACCATGATGTCACTTTGTAATAACCACGATGTCACTTTGTAATAACCACAATGTCACCTGTAATAACCACGATGTCACCTGTAATAACCATGTTGTAATAAACGAGATGTCATGAGGAAACATCTGAGGAATGAAAAGTTAACCGTGTTTCACCATAAACGAATATAGCGAAAGAATATAGTGATGTTGCACATTAAATTAAACAGCGGAGCAGAGAAACGAGCACTCTCCTGGAGCTTCTAGAAGTTATTGTTCTTTGGGCGAAGGTTCAAAGGTCACGTGTCAGTGTTTCCCAGCCCGACCTTCCCATGAAGGTGCTCTGCTGATCCTGGTTGGCTAACAGCGTCAATCCCGTGGAAATGGCTCAATTCTATAAGCTGTAACGATTCCAACGTATTCCTGCGTACTGACAGGCAATTTTTAGACTTTCAAGTCAGGGTTCATTTGAAGAAAAAAAAGCCTACAAACAGTAATACTGATACATAAGTCAAATAAATCGTGACAAAATGCAAAAATGGCACAGTTTGGCACAAAAAGATCCTGATAACTAAATTCTGGAGATTTCTCCTAAATTTACCATACCAAAATAATCTCTAAAAATGTGCACTTCACTGTATCAAAACCAGCCTTTACAGAGAAAATGTGCTGATGGAAGATGTTCTTAAATGATACAGTCTGCATCTTTCTCCGTTTACTCACTTGCAAGATGAAGAAAAGCTTTGTGTTCAGTTCTTACACCTCAGTCCGGTTACAGGTGGCATCCACGTGCGCGCGCGTGTGTGTGTGTGTGTGTGTGTGTGTGTGTGTGTGTGCGTGTGTGTGTGTGTGTGTGTGTGTGTGTGTGTGTTTCTTCCGGGCAGCAGGGGGACGTAACTGTTCTACGTTGGCTTGTAAACCAGCACTGGAGAAGAAGAAGAAGAAGAAGAAGAAGAAGAAAAAGAACAACAACAACCGGAAGCGGAAGTCGCTGTGCTCTCAGAAGTCGCCCTCAGGCCTCGGACCGGTTCGGTATCATTCAGTGGATGAAGTCAGAACACCGGTAGGTTTTCCGGAGAGTTTGTGTCGCTGCGCGGATTCTTAACGACTTCTTCTCGGCTTCTGTGTTGATTTCAAGATGGCGGCGTATCACGGTAAGTGGACCTGGAGCTAAGCTAGCTAACGTTAGCGTGCTAACAGTTGGCATTAGCTGGAGGTTTCTCCCAGCCAGCGTTGCATAAATGGTTACTACGTCGTAAATATGTTACCCTTGAGATTTGAGCTGCACTTCAGCTCAAGGATGTACTGTTTATGCCACTAATATACAACAAGTGGAGGCTGTTTAATATCAACAGATCGATCGGGTTCCTCTTCCAGGTTCCAGCAGCCTGGAGCCGTAGAACCCTGCCGGTCATATCACCATGTAGACGGAACCGACTCACGGAACTAGACCGACGGACGGACGGCGGCTCGCTGGTCGCTAACCGGTGCCGCAGAATCAGCGTGGCTGTGGGCTCGACCTGGTGGGGCAGCAGGCTGATGGAGAGTGACTGTCGGATCCCCGTGGCGTGTTGTCGGCCTCGAGTCCTCATCCTGCACGCGCTGTTCTGGGGCCTCGTCTCTCTCCGGTGAGTCTGTAGGTCAGAGGTCAGAGGTCTGTTTGTACTCAAAGCTCAGCCTGAAGGTTGGACGTCAGTCTGTCCGGTTCTCTCTTCCTAACATGTTGTCATGTTTCAGGGTGTTTGGAGCAGGTCTGCTGAGTGAAGAGAGAACTCCAGGTACGTGTCAATCAGCAAGGATCCTAAAGCCTAGTTTATGCTTTCAGACAGCATCAGCAAGGGTTCTGTCCTTTGACCTCCCTGTTCTTATTCCCACTCAGCAGTGAAACCGGTGGTCGCCCCCTGCTGGCTGCTGGAGGACTTTGTAGTTACGACAGAGTGTTTGCAGTGTAATGCTTTCCAGACTGTAAGTGTTGCATTTAAGGACCTTGCCCCTGAACGCCTCTTAAGAGTTCTTTTATTAATTGTCGATTAAGGTGTTGGTTGATGGTTGATGGCTACGATGTTGCTGTTGTTCAGACATCGTGGTCGTCCTGCGGACTGACGGGTTACGTGGAGAGAGTCAACTGCACCCGATCCAACCGAGACGAGTACAAGAGGTTTGTTTCCTCAACTCCGTGTCTCTGTAGAGCTCTGTGTGTTTACTGTGCTGATCAGGTTGTCCCCGTCCCCCGTCCCCGTCCCCCCCCAGCTGCCGCTCTGCTGTGATGGAGGAACACCTTTTCTGGAAGTTCGAGGCGGCCATGTTGGCTCTAATGGCTGGGCTGGCGGTCGTGGTCGTGGTCCGTCAGCGCTGGCTGGACCGTCTCGCCTCTGAAAAGGTCCGCCGCCAGATCGAATCCATCTAGAACACCGGAACCAGAATCAAGTCTCTTAATTCTGATCCAGAACCGGGAGACGGTCGGGGACCAGGACCAAAGCTTGTTTAAATGAAATTTAGAAATATTTGAATGGATGGTGATTTTAAACAAAATCTGATGTCTACACCAGACGTCAAACTGGACCCAAACCAGTCTGAACCGTTTCATTAAAATACTAGATTGAATTATCACATTTTTAGTTCCTTTTGATAACGAATTTGTTGTATTATAATTGTGATATATTAACAGAGGTTAGTATTTGAGTTATCCATTTATATTCAATTGATAAGTTACATTTTATTTATTTCACATTTCTCTAGCGGGACACATCTGTAACTAAAGTAACTTCAGGTTCTTGTTTAAAGAGGACAGAGTTGATGAGTCTTCTACATGTACGCTGCAGAGAAACCACCCGGTTGGATGTTCGCTGACGTCATCAGACCAACGCGATTTGGTTTGTACAGCGTGGATTCAATGAATGTGTGTACGGTTTAAATTGTAATACGGGCACATGAAATCTAGCATGTTGCTTGGTTGAGTCACGTACTGTACCTGTTCCGTGTTACTGTGTCCTCAAAATGGCTCCAAACTATTTTGTGCTGAAAGGCAGCGATTTACTCACTATCTCTAATGTCGCTGGCAGCCGTATTCTAAAAACACTGAGGTACCCGAGGCAGTGCGTATCCTAACAGCCTCACACCTTGTTGCTTAAATATAATAATGTGATTGTGAAACCGCCACAGTCCCACATACTACAAATTCATTTTTGGGCTTAAAGACGCTGAAACGGAACGTTTCAGACGAATATTCCCACAATGAGAAAAATGATTTAAACGTATGAAGGTCGAAACCCTAAATACAAGCACGAGTCTTAAAATGAGCAGGACATCTCTGAATAAACTGTTTAAAAAACCTTCCCATAGATTGTGTTCTTTAAAGTATATTTTGTGTTTCCATTGAACACTAATCTCAAAGTTACACTGAAATAAAACACTTTTAAAGTGAAACTGGGGGAAAAAAACCAACCATCAACTTAAACTTTATTAATAAGCAAGTTAAAAACATGTTAACGTTTAAGGAATACTTTTAACGATGTTCATCCACAGCAGAAAATAGTCCTCAAATCAAACGCCGAGTCTCGATTGGTCGGCTGGATTCTGACGCTCTCGATCTTAAAAAAACAGTTTGAACTTTGAACCCTCCGACCAGCAGTCAATTGATTGGCTCGTAGTCCGTCGCCCTCTTGCGTATGCACACGCAGACTCCGCCCATCAGCAGCAGCACAGTGGGAGTTCCCAAGCCAACCGCCATCATGGCGAGCACCAGCGGGGAAAAGGAATCGACAGGAGGAGAGCCGGCGCCGAGCAGCACGGTCCTGGAGGGGAGGAGACGCGTTAGGAGGTCATTGGGAGGTCAAGAACACAACGGCGGTGACGGAGTAGCGCCTCACGCACCAGCTGAAGAACTTGGTGCTGTTGTAGAACGGTTCCCCCGCCAGACCGAAGCTCACGTTGAGGCCGAAGGTCTGTGGCGCCCCGTAGAAGCCTCGGATCAGGCCGGAAGCTGCCGCCGTCTCCTCCGGGCTCTGAGGCCGCGGGTCGGAGTGGCGGCACGGCGTGGCGAACTCCAGCGCCGCGTCGGCCTGCCGGTAGGCCACCGGCTTCCATTGGAGGTAACCAGAGACATCGGAGCTGCCGTTAGCCGAGGACACCCACTGGGACACCTGAGAGGTCAGAGGTCACAGCAGCCATTTTGAGGATTAATGGTTTATGCTGCTGATATTAGTCACATGATCGTTTCCTGAGACCTCTGACTTCCTGTCGATGGAATAATTGATCACCTTGAATATTGACGGAGTGAACTCGTCGTCGATGGAGCGATGAACCTCCACCCGGCTCAGAGGAGACGGGTCGCCCACCGCACGCAACTCCAACAGGAAGCGGGAACGAGTTGCCCGTGGGAGCATGCCATCAAGCCACACCCTCAACTGGGAGGAGTTAGCCGTGTGGAGAAGGCGGGGCCAGGAATGATCCCGCCCTCCTGACTCAAACACTGAGAGCTAGAAAAAAATAACACATAAAAAGGATGTTTCATAATCTGAAGCTACAGTGTCGGGGGTCATGTGATGCTGACGTCACAATTGCAGCTTCCCCTCTGACCTCCAGGCAAAGCGATCCGTTGGTGAAGGTTTCAGCGGCTCCGCACAGCAGAGCGCTCAGGCCCGACAGTTTGAGACGAGACCAGGTGAAGTCCTGCAGCTCGTACGGCGGGAAAGGGTCAGCGGTCGGGTCGGCGGTGTCGTTCACATCGTCGTACTCCAACAGCTGAGAAAAAACGGAGCCGAATCCAGGCCAAACGTTTTCATCATGGCCATGAATCGCAGAATAAGACCAATCAACTATCTGAAATTGCTCCATTCAACAACCACATGAATCTCTGAAGTTTCCCACTCCCACAAACAACTGTGAACGCAGCGCAGCATCCGTGCGATGGTGTCCCTGAGTTTTTGTAAAGGTGGTCAAATATCCCCAGATTGGACTTTCCGGTTCAACAGGTTGTCAGCGAAACACAAACAACACCTCTCTGTAACCATGGTGATGTCGCACTCGTCTCACATTACGATTAATGTGATCGTCCCGCTCGCGGACCAGTCGGTGAAATGATGGTTAATCGACGTCACTGTTTGTGTTAACGGGTCGCTGACCAGCTGTTGAACCGGGAAGTCCAAATCTGTCCTCAGCCTTATTTGTTAAGCTGTCACTCATGATTACACGCCCCTCACAGTTGATGCCCCGCCCCCTACGACCAGATCAGGGTCAACTCCACCTATTTTTTATTTGAATACATTGTTGTACTTTTCAATGATCAAAAAACTTAAACTTTCAGGTTCTTAATTGTTTTTCAAATGATCAAAATATTTGGCCTGAATTTGGCTCCATAAGAAAACAGGAAAGAGTTCCCTTTTCAAAGTAAAAGTTTCCCTGTGTAGTCAAACTAAATGTTTCTGTTGGTGGATTTAAGGGGGACCGGCGGTGTTAGATTTAAGGTGTAATGGGTGGTGTTGGTGGGTTTCTGACCCTGCTGAAGACGAGGGCGGAGCTGTACATGACAGTATTCTCTGGCTCCACCTTCAGGCCTCCGCTGATGTTACGAGCCTCAAACTGAGTCCAGTTCACCTGAGAGAGATAAACACCATCAGTTAGTTGTGAGGAGCGTAAACATATGTCTCAATGACCCCCCCGAACCGTCAGCGTCCCCCCTGGACTCTAAACCCTCAGAGTCCCCCTAAGGCCTTATAACTCAGTATAAACAAGTTATAAAAAAACACACATGTATTAATATCAATACAGTTACAGCCTAAATCGTATCAGTTTAAAAGTCGGATTAAAAGCATAACTACGTTTTTAAAAATATAAATAGACGTGTGTGTCTGTGACGAAGAAGACGAGCACAGACCTCCACAGTAGAAGAAGAAGAGTTGGTGTGGACCAGCAACAGCGTCGGCGCCCCCTGGCTGCAGAACAAGAAGTGCAGCGTGTCATTGACTCCTACGGCTCTCACGTGCAGCAGGTCACCACCGGAGGGCGATGAGGGCGAACCGGGGTTCAACTCTACCGACAACTGAAGGAGAGAAGAAGAGACGACGATCAGAGACGGTTGCTAGATTGGAATAGTCAGATGTTCTTCCTCACTGAGTGAAATGACCCAGAAGTAGTGGAAGTGGCGCCATGATGAGAGCGGTTTGAATTCACTAATGCAAAGGAAAGGAGTTTCAATGCTTCCTCACTTAATAATAATGCACGTTTATTAAGGCTGCTCACTGTGAGCTTAATAAGAAAATACTACCCAGGTTCTGATCTCCTCCTTAATACGTGTATATTATGTGTATCCATAGTTTTGCTTTGAAAGGCTCCTGTTTAAGCACTTTATTTGTTGCACTTTTTTGTTGATAATGAAAAATATTTTTCCCTAACTAAACTTGTGTCATTGACATAAATCATTAAGAATAAGATTATTAACAGTATAGGTGAGGTTTCAGTTAAGAATTAGTTGAATACCATTGTAATCAGAATGTCAATCAACCTAAATTGGTCAAATCTTAAACACAGGTCTATTAATCCGGCTGTATTGTGGTACATAGACGCTCATTGAGGCACAGCAATAGTTTTCTGGTTGAATGTTCAGCTCAAGTCTTGAGCAGATGAACATGAATCAGAATAAGTTCAGGCGGGGGGGGGCGGGGGGACCATCAGCTGTGTCTGCTGCTCACAATGTGACCAACGTTGTCCATCTCCAGCCGGCCGCCCCCATCAACCACTTTGGGCCCCACAAACCACCAGAATGCAGCGTACTACACGGGTACTACGCCAAGTGGTGATGTTTGAGCCACCAACGTGTGGGGCTGCACGCGGCAACATTTTGGTCACCCGACAAAATCTCACTCCAAGGTTTTTTGAGAAGTTGTCAGCTCTGCAGAGTGAGTAACACGGTGGAAGGACGCAGCCAAGTGGTGATTTGGAGCAACATGTCTGAAATGTACTTGAATATCTACTCATAGAAATGTTGTATTATAATATGTAACACATCTTAGTTTATAAAAAAAAACGTATGTTGTGTTCTTAAATACACACAAGACGTGGGAACACGACAATAGGGATGGACGGACAAACATTCATGAACAGGGTTTCCCTCACTGTTATACAGGGGGGGGCTACAATGAATTGATTGATTGAATGATTAGAACGTCCTCTGTCAATATTGAAGATTACTTGTCCTACTTTACGGCAGTAAAAGTACTAATAACGTCATGTACTTTGTACTAAGATTGTTTATTTAGTACACATTTTGTAATGGAGCATTTCTGTTAAGTACTAGTACTGGCGTTAAATTCATTATTCGAGTACTTGAGTAGATATTCTTGTTGCATTACTAGAAGTAAAATGTTGACACACTTTTTACATAATTTAAATAATCGACAAGTCGGATGTTTCATTTAATTTAGTTGAATATAAAAAACAATATAGCCTAAATATTCAGTAGAGAAGAAACTTCGGATTCACTTCCTGTTTCTTGAATAGAATGTAAAATATCGATACACAGTTAATAGTATTTACTCACGTTTCTTCTGAAAGTTTCTCCACTGAAAGAACTGTGACATAAACTGAAAACAGAAAAAAGAAAAACGAGAAAAGAAGAAACTCCGCATCTCCGTTTCTCTGCTGTAGCCGCCATCTTTGTTGTGAGCGAGCAGCGGCGCAAGTCACATGACCGTATCCGGCCACGCGCTCCCTGCGCTGCCTCTGATTGGCTTGCCTTGTTCTCAATCCATGAAGGAAGAGAGCACTAGCCAATCAGAAGAGGGTAAGGGCGGGACCTATCACATGTCAGCTGACCCTTTGAAAACGCTTCATTACGAAACCGATTAACCGAGTCAGCATTTAATTAAGAAATAATTTAAGAAATTGTAGAACATTGGATACACCCAATTGTATTAATTAACCATAATATAGATGATGTATCTCCATACTCTGGGTTATGTATTGACTAACAGTTTAATATTCCGGTTTGCTATCATACATTTGGGCATCTGAAAGACATTAAAACCAACTTCATCCATGAGGTTGGATTCAAAATTAAAATAATTTAGATGAACTCAACCTTAAATGATTAATACATTGATACGCCGTTAAATTAAACCCGGCAGCAGTAGTACTAGAAACTTGATGCTGAAGGACTCGTTTGGATTTCATGTGAAGTCAAAGGTCTCTGCTCCATCAGTGAGCCACGATGTTTACACAAACAGAAGGACGTCAAACAGGTTGAACTTTATCAACTTTATTGAGTTTCATTGAGTCATCTGGTCCACAGAAAGGCGGTTGGAGTTGCTCTGATGTTGACGTGGATCTATTCGGCTCCTTGTCCTCCCATCTGACCGTCTTTGTCTTTCTTCTTGTGACCGGAGACGATGTCATCGATTCGCAGCAACAAGATGGCCGTCTGAACAACCGACAGGAAGAGAGAAGGTTACGGTGCACAGTAACTACTAGCGTCTGAGTCAGTCATAAGCGTGGGTGACCTCTGACCTCCATTGCCGTCTTGTAGGTCTGAGCTTTGACGGCCAGCGGCTCCCAGATGCCCAGAGCCATCATGTCAGACAGACAGCCTGTCTCACCATCCACACCCCAGTTCACGCTGTTCTCCTGAGTGTGCTTGGCCTGCAGAGACAGACAATCAATACGCGATCAATACCAGACTGACTGGCTGGTTTCTGCACAAAGACCAACACGAGTGAAGTCGTACCCTCAGTGATGTCAGCACTCGGATGGTGGAGGCTCCACAGTTCTGGATCAGGGTTCTGGGGATGACCTCCAGGGCCTGGGCCACGGCGCGGTACGGCCACTGCTCGATGCCGGTCAGAGCGCGTGAGCGCTCCATCAGGCGCTTAGACACCGCCATCTCTATGGCTCCGCCCCCGGGCAACAGACTGGGCTCCAACAGAACATTACGACACACCTGCATGGCGTCCTGAAGGTTCCTTTCCACCTCCTGAAGACAGACAGATACTTCAGCTGAAGACAATATGTAAACACGTAGACCGGATGTGCACACAGAACGAGGCGAGGAGGATTCTCACAGCAAGGATCTCTTTGCTGGCTCCTCTCAGCAGGATGGTGCAGGCTTTGGGATCTTTACACTCTGTGACGAAGGTGAAGTATTCATCGCCGATCTTCTTCACCTCAAACAGCCCCGCCCCCGTACCAACGTCTTCCTCACGAAGCTCATCCGTCCGGCTTGCAATACGAGCGCCGCACGCCCTGTGTGTGAGAGAGAGAGAAAAGGAGTTTACTTCATCGGTCTGCTGAGAGCCGATTGGCTGCTCCCATGTCAGCGGTCAGCTGATTGGCTGCACCATCTTACCTGGCGATGCGGTTGTTGTCAGTCTTCCTCACTCGACGGATGGCGGTGATGTTTGCCTTCATCAGGTAATGCTGAGCCAAATCTGAGAGGAACAGGACGCTTATTATTGATCAGCTTGAATCATGACGACGGGTCTAGTGAGGGTCTGTGTGCGCGAACCTGAGACCCCCTTCTCTGTGAACACCAGGTCTGGTTTCAGGCGGATGATGTCCTCACAGATGTGTTGGATGTATTCTTCCTCCATCTGCAGGATTCTGGCAAAGTCCTCCTCCTTGCTGATCTCTATGTCAGTCTGAGAACACACAATGTCACCATGACAACTTCAATGCACAAGGTCATCATGCTACAAGTCAGTGTGTGTGTGTCTGTGTTACGTTTCTGCGTCTTTACGCGTCAACGCTCTGGTTTCACTTCCTGGTTGTAAAGTCCTGCGTGTGTTGCAGAGCGATTCACCTCCAGAACAACAGGTGGAGTCACGTGTTTTGTTGAAGACGACCTGGAGAGTCACGTCTTTGTGTGTGGAAGTCGCTGGTTGCTTTATTTATTGATCATAGACTTTATTGCCCCGTGCATCCACACTGCTGCTTTTCATTACGGACACATTTGTCCCGTATTTTCCTCCACGACTTTGTTCCCCTCGTTTGTGGAGATCTCCCTCCATGAATCAGAGGCCATCCGGCGTCCTCATAGTCCGCCAATGACGGCTTGTACAAGCGCTCATATTTAAAAGCTCTTCACTCTGATCCGTTCTCTCGTAAACGTTCTTCCTTTTAATAACGGCCGTATTGTGCTGTGAAAACGGAGACGTGAGACTCCGTAAAGGACGTAGTCAGCGGACCAATCACAGCCTGGTGCTGCGTCGCTTTACACGCTGGTCTAGAAAAACGGATCGACGCACGCAAGGAGGCGTGAAAAGTCACGCAAGGGACACGCAAGGGACACGCAAGGGACACGTAAGGGGGTCTCGCGTGTCTCTGAAAAGGCAGAAGCATAAACTGGGCGTTACCTGGCTCTCCCCCTTCTTGTACTCCAGAGAGCAGTCCAGCAGGATGATCCGGGGCTCTTTAATGAGGCGCCTCATCCTCGGGTGAGTGACATCTTTGTTCACCATCACTCCTCTCAGAACATACGAGTCCTCGATGATCCCTCCGGGCACCTGAACACAGCACAGCGTTACAGCAGGGTGTGTGTGTGTGTGTGTGTGTGTGTGTGTGTCAGACAGGAAATCCTACCTTCTCCACTTTGGCGTACTTCTTGATGTCGATCTCCTTGCGTCCGTTGTCTTCCATCTCCACCGTACGCACGGCGTCCAGAGCGATGGCACACGCCATCTCAGACCAGCGACTCAGCGCTTTGGTGTTGATGGCAGAGTGGACAATCTTCAGCATCATGGAGCGGTCCGACGTGTCAACGGGGGTGCTGAGGACGAGGGAGGTTAAGGGTCACGCCGGGAAACCAATGTGTACAAATACAGCACAATGAAAATTCATGTACCTGATGTCCTTCAGCGTCTCCAGCATGTCCTCCAGGGCTTGTCTGTAGGCACTGATCACCACCGTGGGGTGCATCTGCTGCTCCAGGAACTGCTCGGCTACAGAGAGCATTTCCCCGGCTACACACACACACACACACAGTCAGCGTCACACCCTCATCGTCATCATCATCATCATCTCCTCTTCCTGTACTCACCCAGGATGATGACTGACGTGGTCCCGTCTCCCACCTCTTCGTCCTGTGTGCGGCTAATCTCGATCATTGACTTGGCTGCAGGATGCTGGACCTGGATCTGTTGCCATGGACACAGGTTGACCTCACTGGTAATAACACGCCCCCCCTTCTCACCGGTAATAACAACACCCCCCCACAGGTAATAACAGGTCCATCTCACCTCTCTCAGGATGGCGTTTCCATCATTGGTCATCACAATTCCTCCCATAGGGTCGAGTAACATCTACACAGGTAAACAATTACTCTCCAGAGAGAAAACAGTGACTTATTGTTAGTGTTCTAAATGAGAGTGAGATCTGACCTTCATCATGGCCCGGGGGCCCAGGCAGGTCCTGATCACATCAGCGATGGTCTGGAACACAAACAACATCATCACCAGGGGCACAAAAACACAAGTGAACAGTAGAAGTCTCCAGGCCCTTCAGGGGCCCCGAGCCACAGGTTGAGAACCTCAGCGGGAACCCACCTTGGCAGCGTTGATGTTTCCAGTCTGAACTTTACGTCCTGACTCTCTCTTCATGTTGTGGTCTGCAGAGAAAGGAGGGACAGATTTAGCACGGCTGCTGAAAACATGGCTCGTTACCATGGTTACCATGCCTCATACTAATCTGAGGCCAGCAGACGGGGGTGAAATAATGTAGTGGACACTGGAGGCCAGCAGCCTGCGCTTCATTCTCAGTCTGGACGCAGAGACGCGTCTCCGCTCGGCTGCACGAGTCGCTGAGGACAGGAAGTGCAGAGCGATGAGCGCTTTCACGTCAGACACCACAAAAGTCTCAAGGGAAGTCGTTTAAGGTTAGCACCCTTTAGAACAGGTTTACAAACTAAGTATTGATCTTACTATACTGGCTCCCTGTCTCATTCCGGACGGACTACAAAGCTCTACTACTCCCTCATAAATGCATGAATGGGCATCTCTAACTACTTACTCCCCAAACCTCCACCCGCACGCTCAGCTGTGCAAGCAGCTCGCTCCTCCGGGCGCCGAGCCGCGGGCCACCGGGCCTTCTGCTCCCCGACCACCTGAGGGCAGCGCGCTCACTGGACGCCTTTAAAACCTGAAAACCTCCTAATTCAGGAAGGCCTTTTTTACTCCATCATGAGTGGAGTTTTTCTTTCTATGTTTGAATTGTTTTAATAGCTTGTACTTCATTTGAACTATGTTTTGTTGGCTCTGATCAGATCTGTTGATGGTTGCAAAATTGATACATTGAGCTTTTCCCCAGCGATGATCTGTCTGTTTGTTAATGACCAGCAGCTTGTTTGTCTTAATATATTTACCCCACTAATATCATCAGAATGTACCAGAGTCCTTGTGCTCAAATGCAGTAGTGGGACAAGTTGCCCAACTGCCGCTTTTTGATGGACACCGAAAGCCACGAATAATGGAGGTGATGGTGTACTTGTGTGCGTCAAACATACATCCTACTCTCACTGCTGTAAAGTGAGTCTACTGTGTACAAATAAACGTGGTGTTAAAATGAACATGGCTTCAGTTCACCAAGTAGTATCAAGTTGCTCGGTAATGACAAAGACATTCAAAAACAACAGAACGTTTTAGGTTTATGTTCCCAAACAGCAGCAGGCGTGAATAGTCTTGTTCAACGACGTTTAAGTTCCCGGTTACATGCTTCATCGTTTGCAAAAAAATAATTAAATTTTCTTTTTTTTAAATTCCCGTGGAAACTTTCCGCCCGTTTGCAACACTAGTTATAAATAAAATGTGTTATTGCTACTTACAAAGACATGTTATTTCTGTGTCTACATGCTCCATGTTTGCTCACACGTTTTAAAAAGTCCATATATTGCAAAGATCAATATTAACCACTATTCAGATCGAAGAACATCTGATCATGTGATTCATTTCTATGCGATTATTGATCGTCTAAAACGAAAAAAATCATTTAAAATCAGTTCCCCATTGAATAATATGTTGTATCGCAAGACTTAATTTAAACAATTCAATTAATTTTGTAAAGCCCCGAATCTCAAATGAGCCTCCGAGGGCTTTACAGTCTGTACACATGCGTCATCCTCTTTCCCGAAACATTCACACCGGCACAGGTAAACGTCAATCAAGTCACGTGAGCCCAACGACTGGGCGGATCAATAGGAGTTAGTTTGTGATCGATCCCTCAGTAGCAGCGAGGGTGTGGCGGCTGCGACCGCACTTGTCTTGGACAGCATGCTAACGTTAGCATCATGGCTTTAACGTGTCTGCGGAGTGACTCCTACTAAGCTAACGGTGCTAACGTTAACGTATTAACTGATGTCGGTTGGACGGGACATTTTACAGCTAAACATCAGCCGACATTAACAATCCTTCTTTACGGCTCATGACTTGCAGATAACTCGCTGCTAACGTTACGTGTTAAACGTTCCCACTGGGTGTTAAAGTGTGAGGAAGTATGGAGTCACTGAGCAATTAGCTTCTGCTACCGATGCGAACAACATATTTACCGAGTAACATGGGTGTGTTAGCACAGCCTAGCATTCACCACGATGAGAACATACGACACGAGCTAACGATGCTACCACGGGCTAGTGTAGCATTGACGCCAACCGTTAGCATGAATGGCACATGCGTGCTGCTTTGTGTCGCAGCCGGGCGAATCAAACGGGTACCGACAACTAACCGGGCAGAGTGGTGGGTCCAGGTCACCGCCACGTTGAAGTATAACATTTAAATATAACATATTATGGTTATTATTATACTTACTGAGCACTAAAACCTGTTGGCCCATCATTTTGACAGTGAGATGGACAGTTTCAGCCTGGAAGGTTCTGGGAGGCACGAGAGGAGGGAGGGTTTAACTCGCAGGGGCGGGACAATATCCCAAAGCCTGTCTAATCAGTTGAGAGGATTGTAATGACGGACAGGCACGTCCACCAATTGAGTCAATGAGCTAAAGGAGTTCGAACAAATCTCACACTTTTATGGTAAAAACCAACAAGACCCTTTTTACTTGGGCCGGGTCCGTGTAGGTCCGTGTACCTTTTGATAGTCCCTTTTACCGTGAAAACGGAAATCCGTGTATCATTCGTTCCTTCGTGTCTCAATTGACAAACCGAAAACCAAAAACGATTCGATTTTCCGTTATTCAATTGAGAAATCAAGAACGAAAAATGGGCAACTGGCCGACATTTATTTTGAAAGTTTGTGACCCGGAAATGATGTGACCCAAATGACTTCTTTGTGTACTCCACTAATGCAGGGGTCTCAAACTCCGGCCCGCCGGAGCGTGCGAGGGGATGGGGGGGTCGTAATGGTCTGGCCCGCGTCGGTCGAGGTGCGCCGCATCTGAACCCATTTCTGCCACAGAAAAGCGCCGAAATTATGATTTAGGCTCCTTCGTTCTTTGCTAAATTGACTTTACAAACCCTCTTGGCGACTTTTTGTCAAAAGCTACCAGCGCCACCTTATCTGGTTTTATTGGAGACTTTTGGTGTCTCACGTGTTGTCCTCACGTCTATTTATGTAGATATAGATATTTATATGTATATGTATATGTAGATATAGATATTTATATTTATATGTCTATGTAGATATAGATATTTATTGTCTATGTAGATATAGATATTTATATGTCTCTATCTGATTTCCTCGTTGAGTTGGCAACACTGGTTCAATAAAGAGACAATAGTTACTAATCACGACTGCTACTGAATAAATACCACCCGGAACGTATTTCATATCCCAATAAGTTTGATTGATCTCGAACTCGGAAATACTGCAGATAACTTAAGACGTGTTAGTTATGAATCGGAGTCCGTAGAACGTTTACAGTTTGGTAAAGTTGGACAGATATTCACAGGTTCGGACTCCCCGGTTCAATAGCTCATCAGCGAGACGTCGTAAAAACACAAACCCCACCTCTCTGTGACCGTAGTGACGTCACCGACCAGCTGCAAGGGGCCTGCGCATGCGCATATCTAACCGTCGTTTTTTGTGTCGGAAATGAGTTTCCAGAGACATTAGTCTCACGAAGAAGTCATTTGGTTCACAAAACCTGCGGGTCACAAACTTTAAAAATAAATGTCGGCCAGTGGCGAATTTTTCGTTCTTGATTTCTCAACTGAATAACAAAGAACGAACGACACACGGATTCAATTGTACTTCCATTCATCCCTTTTGGAAGTTTTCCTATAAAACGAAAATACGAAGCGTAGCCGCTAAACCGGAAGTACGTAACTTTTCACAGTAAGAGTCAACGCAATGTGACGTTTCTATGCTAGAATTAATGTTAGAAAGATTCTCACTCGACACCGGTGTAAGATCTTCAAAACCGGATATTTAGTGTTTGCAAACAGGAGAGTTGACGCACGCGCGCGCACACACACACACACACACACACACACACACACACACACACACACACACACACACACACACACACACACACACACACACACACACACGTCATGCACCAAGGCTACTCAAAGGTTTTCGTCGTCGAAGCAGGAATATGTAGTTGGAAACCCAGTTCAAAACCCAGGTTCTGGTAGTCGATCTCAGGATGTAGACAAACATCTTGATTCTCAGGTGACCCGGAACACAATGTGACTCTGTCCTGCTAAGGTGGAACATTAGTGCAGTTTTTCCAACAATTAATATAAATACATAATCCTGGTCCGATGGGATGTCTCTATTTTCTAATTGTCATTATCTATTACATTCAACAAATAATACCGCTTCATTGGAGGTATGTTTGGCTCTTAAATGAAATAAATATAACTAAATGAATACAAAAATAGTTGTGAATGAACCCTAAACACCACATGAAATAAACAGCATTAAATACATCTGCAATCATCTAAATACGGTTGATATAAAATGAAAAACGGTGGTAATTAGACAACCAGGTTATTGTGAGTTTCTATTTTTGTCACATTAAAAGGCATTTTATACGTTACAAAAACCTGGCATTTTGTGTAGACTTTTTATATCCACTGTACATATTATGAAGATTTTAGAAGGCTCAATATGATATTAAACAAATACAGTAATACACAGAGTAATTAAATATTCACATCAGTTTATTACTTAATGTACAAAAACACACAAGGGCAATAAATATGAACCAAAGACAAATGAAATTAATAAAAAGACATGTATAAAAACAAAACATAAGTTAAATAAATAAAAAGATGAACAAAAACACATCAATAATTAAAGTTGCAAGCAGCGTTGGACGGGTCCTGCGTCTAAGAGTCAAACTTCATCTGTAACATCATTAAGGCGTAGAGGGCGCTATCGAGCCCAATCATTCCAATGATATCAGATAACTACATCTGACTAAATGTGTGTGAGCATGTTCAGTACCTCAAACACACCTTTGTTGTTTACTGGACACTAGAAAATGTGACTTCCTGTTACCAGTAGGTGGCGCTAGGACTTTGCTTCCACTTTGCCCGGAGTATCAACAAATATGTGACAATTGGAGAGGATGCGAACATGTGGAGTAGAGCTACAACGGTTTAGTTCTTCTTGGCGAAGTATCGAATTTGCCGCCGATTATCGAATTCTTACAATATTCACCGTGAAGCGATATCAAGGTCGGAAGTCTTTTCTGACACTTTGGAGAGTTTGGTCCTTTACGGCAATTTTTCATTTCTAGGGGGCGCTATAGAGTGATGAGATGATGAGAAATGAGATATCTAATTTTTCACCAGCTCTGCTACGCAGAACACATGTTTGGCTTTTTGAATATGATAAAGCCCCCGAAATGCCAATATAATAATAATAATAATTCCTTCCACTGCGACTAGTCGAGGACCCTGAATATGAACAAAAACAGGGAAATCAATGAGAGAACATATAAAAAATGTTTATCTTTAAAAATCTTCCCGGAAAAACTTGAACTGTTGAGTAAACTCGTAAATCTGAATACAATTATGACAGAAACACAAGCAGTCAGCAGGCGGTCCTTCAAGGCGGTGATGGAGGAATGTGGGTAGACCAGCGTGTTGGAGGGAAACCTGTCAAAGTTCAGTCTTCAGTCCGCCAACAACCTGCCGGGGACTCAACTCGCTTTTCAGAAACTTCAGGAAGTCTTTGAGCTCTCGTCCCCCCTGAGGACACAATGATCAATAAAGAGACATCGACACATCGATCGGCTGGATTCTAATTGTCAAATGTTCTTAGGAAGGTTCCTCGCTGAGTGAAGTGAAGTGGAGGACGATGAGAGCGGTTCTATTCTCTAACGCCAAGTGTTTATATCTATATTCTATCTCTTTAGTACACACGAGACGTGAGCAGGTACTGTTTGTTGAACCCACATCCCTCCTGCCCCGATCCCCCAATACCTGCCCCAGGTACGTCCCCACATGTAATAAAACACCACACACAATAATAAGGAAAGGAGCTTCAGTGCTTCCTTACTGAAGTAACGGTGACACATTTAAGCTGCAGTTTTACACGAAGCATCGGAGACGCTTCTTTGTAGCCGCCGCACACTGACGCCACCAACATGCGTCTCCGTCCATCACAACTACGCAGCTCAGTGAGTTGATTCACTAAACACCGCCTTGTCCTTCCTAACTCCTCATCAAGTCTCCTAACCACCTTTCCTCGACTCCGCAACGTTTTCTTTGACAATTAAAATCCAGCCATTGTCTCCTTCCTCCCCACAGCAGCCAGGTAGATGGTTGTGTGTGTGTGTGTGTGTGTGTCCTCACCTCGTATCTGATTGGCTCCTCCTTCCTCCCCACAGCAGCCAGGTAGATGGTCGGGTACCTGCAGAGACAGACGGAGATGGTGAGCATCTGATACGTCACACTGATTCCTGATAAGAGGCTCTCACCCCTGGACGTCGTATCCCAGAGGGACGTCGTTGTCGCCAGCGTTCATCTTGGCAACGATGATGTTAGGGTCAGAGGACAGCTGAGGACCAGAGGTCAAAGAGTCAGGATCAGGTCACAGGTTAGATTGCTTAGTTACGGTCATGGTTGCTCAGTTGTGACCCCGACACTGTGAAACATCACTAATACATCCTATAGTTCCTGTCCAGTAGCACCATAGATCACATTCATAGATCCACTACGTCTAGTAGGGAACCCAGATTCCTATCTGATGATGATCTACCGTCTCAGCAAGTTCTCTGTAGACCGGCTCCAGTTTCTTGCAGTGTGAACAGGACCGAGAGTAAAACTGGATCAAAACATCTTTCTCCTGATCATTGACGACGTCATCAAAAGACTCTGCAACAACCACCTGCAACACACAGAGGTCAGAGGTCAGTCTTTCCCCCACATCATATTAAATTACCCCCCTCCTCTTGAAAAAATGTTCCCGCCCGATAATATGAGCCTAAATGTCTGAGACAGACAGACACAGTCAGAGAGACAGACAGAGAGACAGACAGTCAGACACAGTCAGAGAGACAGACAGAGAGACAGACAGAGACAGTCAGAGAGACAGTCAGACACAGTCAGAGAGACAGTCAGACAGACAGACACAGTCAGACAGACACAGTCAGAGAGACAGTCAGACAGACAGAGAGACAGACAGAGAGACAGACAGACACAGTCAGACAGACAGACACAGTCAGACAGACAGACACAGTGAGACAGACAGACACAGTCAGAGAGACACAGTCAGAGAGACAGACAGACAGACAGACACAGTCAGACAGACACAGTCAGAGAGACAGTCAGACAGACAGACAGAGACAGTCAGACAGACACAGTCAGACAGACACAGTCAGAGAGACAGACAGACAGACAGACACAGTCAGACAGACACAGTCAGAGAGACAGTCAGACAGACAGACAGACACAGTCAGACAGACACAGTCAGACAGACACAGTCAGAGAGACAGTCAGACAGACAGAGACAGACAGACACAGTCAGACAGACAGACACAGTCAGACAGACAGACACAGTCAGAGAGACACAGTCAGACAGACACAGTCAGAGAGACAGTCAGACAGACAGAGAGACAGACAGAGAGACAGACAGAGACAGTCAGAGAGACAGTCAGACAGACAGACACAGTCAGAGAGACAGTCAGACAGACAGGGAGACAGACAGAGAGACAGACAGAGACAGTCAGACAGACAGACACAGTCAGACAGTCAGAGAGACAGACAGACAGAGAGCAGAAGGGTCACATAGTCAAAGGCATTTTATTTGACTTTACATAAAACCATTAAAACCACCCAAACACAAACACAAAGATTCGTCTCACACGTTCCTTCTGCCTCTGGCAAACAGACCTGAGCGTAGCTGAACATGTCAGGATAAACGTCTTATTCTCACCTTGACGGCATCAGTGTTTCTCTCGGGTATCGGTTCAGACTTTATGTAACGTTTGAGTCGACCTGCGAAGTAATCGTCCAGGAACCTCTGCAAGGACTGACCGTCCCTCCTGAAAGACAACAACCTGATTATTGAGCAATCATGTGAAAAGGTTTGGCCTGGTTTGGCCCAGTTACGTACGTGAACTCCTCTCTCATGGTGTACTTGTGGCCCAGTTTGGTCCGGATCGTAATGAACGGCAGCCCCCCCCCGTCGGATGTCCCCAGGCCAAAGTCTTCCTCCAGCTCGAACAGGAAGTCCTTCCTATTGGCTACGGAGAACGTCAGGCCACGCCCAGAAAATGTAGATGCCATCTTCATCACCCTGGCAACGAGACAAAGACCGCTAGTCCAGATTGTGTACATGTACGCGTGTTACTTGTGTGTGTGTGTGTGTGTGTGTGTGTTACCGGTTTCTCCAATAGTTGGACCCTTGGATGTTGCGATGATAGTCGAGGTCGTAGTAGGCTGTTAGCAGGTCCCGGACTCTTAGGGCGTCTCTGTTCTCCACCGTCATGTGAGGACACAGACCATGACTGCAGACAGACAAGTAGAGCCGGAGGTAGCCAACAGGTGCTGCTGTCATTGACTAATTCGATGATTGAGTCTTACATGTTCTCTCTTATGAAGCGTCTCAAGGACCCGACGGTGAGGAAATCCTTAAAGACTACGACACTCTCCTCAAACTTATTGGAGAGTCTGGGAGGTCTGAACAGCAACACACTCCTGTAAAATACACCAACGGTGATGTAACGTCACTTTGTGTGACACACAGTAACTTCTTGTACTTCCTCGTCACATGACACAAGCAAAGCGCGTCGAGGTTCTGCCTGCTGGGGTCAGCGTTCGTACTCACTCAGACGTTACTCCGTGCTTCTCCCCCAGCTTCAGATCAGCAGCGTGGGCCAGTCTGAACTGTCCTCTCAGCAGAGCTGCAGCTCTCAGGAACTCTGCCAGCTGAGATCCGTCTGCCCCTGAAAACACACCTGAGACACACACACAGGTCAGTGAACGTGACACCACCGAAGGTGCTACGTAGCTTAGCATGACGTCTTATGATGGGAATTACAGCGATTAGTCGATGTAATCAACGATGTCGATTATGAAAAATTGTCAACGCAGATTTTTATAGTTGACGCGTTGTATATTATAAAAAGATTCAGAGCTACCGTTTCCCCATTCAGCGTTGCACTACACTACAGGAAGTGCTGGGGGCGCTATCGCTTCCATTGTCTACGTGCACCAAGGAAAAGAAGAAGTTTATCAAGTAGAACGTGGGAGGGCTGAAAAGGTCTCATCAGCGAACCAAAGCCAACAGGACAACAGCAGAACAGCACAGCATCACCACGGCAACGCAGGGACGTAGAACTCAAGCACGTCTTCCCCTCATGGGTCAGTCTAGCTAACTAAAGTAACGCTAGTTAGTCAACTTATCGTAAGGAGAACAGAGCGTCTCGTGTAGGATGCTTGTAGTAAATCGGTGAATTATCACAGTAGTCTTTGTGTTTGTTCTGAAAAGTTGTATTTGCACTTTTCCTTTACTTTTAAACGTTTTGTATTACTATTTAATGCATTTATTATGATTACATTTTTATTAACTTGAAGTTCAAATTCCAACATTGAGTCATCATTTTAATTTGCTATTGTAGGGAACTAAAAGGACGCGAAAGGGGCGTAACCATGGTGACATGGGGGTAAAAAGGTGTGAGAGATGTTATTGGATGGAAATAAACGGCCACACGTTGTAGCCAAAAGGAATTTGTTTGTTTCCACGCTCCTACACTGGTAAATAGTGGTTAGAAAGGTCCATAGGTCGATATGGGGACGAATGTACACCCTGCACAGGGAATGTCCCACTACGTCATACAACACAGGTCAGGTGACATCATGTAACAGCAGGAACAAGTAACACGTGACATGCGACAGACCTACGACGCTGGCATCGTAGTGGTTGATGAAGGTCTGGAGGTCTTCTTCACTTTTCAGATGAATGGAGTCTGGTCCAGTCTGCTTCTTCATGTAGTGATAGATCCCATCTGAAGACACACATCTGTTTAATGAACCTGTTTATTTGTTTGTTTGTTTGTTGTTTGTTTTACCTGCGCTGCGAGGTCCATCGTAGGGGGCGGAGTCTCTTCCGTTCCTGAAGATCTTCAGGGTGGGATAACCAGACACCCCGAAACGACCACAGGTCTCTGAATGAGCTGTACAGTCCACCTGAGACACGCGAGAAAAGGAGACAGGAAGTGATGGGAAGAGACAGGTAAGACAGGAAGTGACAGGAGTGGACCTGTTGGGAAGGATGTTAGTTATGTCAACACTATGTGACATGTGTTTTGATGATGAAGATGATAATATGATGAAGAAGATAGTAAAGATTTGTGACGGAGATGATTACCTTGGCGAGCTGGACGGTTCCCTTCAGTCTGGTTGCTGCTTTCTCAAACTCTGGAGCTAATTTCTTACAATGGCCACACCTGAGTGAAGGGAAGGAAGGAGGTGAAGAAACAAAGGAAGGGAGGACAGGAGGGAGGGAACACGATAAACAATGAGATAGGAAGGAAGGATGGATGGATGGATTAAACACGTCATTATCTACGTCATAATATAACCTATCCGCTCACGAGCTAGCAATGCTAAAGCTAACCATCCCGTTACCATGGAGCGTAGAATTTCACCAGCATGGTCTCGTGCTCCGTTGCCAGGTAGTCGAAGTCTGCGTCACCGAGCGCGAGCACGTCCCTGCGCGAGGACACAGCGGCTGGAAAACAAGACAACAGCGCGAGCGTCACTGCGGCCGCCATGTTGCGGTGAAACGATGAAAACATGACTCGATGGAGACGATTCAAACGCGGCCGATTATCTCAGAACCTCCGCGCTGCACTCAGCGTCAGTTGAGGCTACGACCCTTCCGGTACCAGATTCCAAAATAAAAGTATTTCACCCTCAATTGGCAGATACATGATCGACCTATTAAAATGATAATCAAATGGTCATATTGTTTAACTCTTTTGTGCAAGTGACGCTTAGTCATCCTCTTTAACTTGGCAGAAGTTAGTACCCACCGGTACCGGAACAATGTTTTCTGATTGGTCTACAGCAGCAGTTACAGGTCACGTCACGTGGTCACATTGGTAAGATATCGCTTATATTTACTAATGAATCTAAAGTCAACATACGCATAAATGCAATATTTTATCAACTTAATGTTTTTGCAATTTTACAGGAAGGCAACAAATTGCTATTGTCAACATTTTAAAAATAACAATGTTCGTTCTTTTCAAAGTAGGCCAACAATAAATGTTTTAATATAAAGAAATAATCCGGACTAATTTGAAATTAGTCCGGATTAGAAATGATTAACTTTTATTAAACTTTCGAAATTAGATCAATCATCGTTAACATTAAGACGGATAACTAGTGTTTATATGATACAATGGGATAAGATGACGTGATATTTTTTATATATTAATGACAAAATCAATGAGAAACGTGTAACAATGATTTATTGAAATATCATTCACATTCAATATGAATAAATATAGATAAAACCTCCAGTGACACTATGTTCATTAAGGCCGCTACGAAACATGGAATTATTCAGTTAAACCCCGGTGCATCGTAGGAAGACTAAACCTCTCCAGTAACACTTCAGTAAGAATGGCAGCAGCTTTGTTTTCTTTAACCAATGTTTTTGTAATTCAATTATTTCTGTAAACATCAACTGTCAAAAGAAATAAAGAAACGAAAATCTCTAAAAATAACAGAAGGAAATTGAATTTGTCCAGTGACTCCAGCTCCAAACCCTGTTCACAGTGACCTGCCTGACTTGGTGGTGAGAAGATAAAGAATAAATAATGATGAGGTATAAATAAAGACGCCTCGGCTGGACCAGTCTATGCTCCAGATGTTCTCCGGTAGAACCCACCAGGTTCCTTCTCAAATACGTTCTAGGGCACCCAGAACCATCCAGTGAGTTCTGGTTGCGCTGCGATTGGATGAAACATCCTGAAGAACTTCACAATGAAGGACATCCGATCTGAGCTTCCCACTGTGATTGGTCTTTTGGTCTGCTTCTTATCTGCTCATTGGCTTTTCCTCTCAGGAACAGGAAGTGGACTTTTGTATGTTGGCAGAGTGGAAGAGATTCATCAGGTCTAAGAAACGGAGACTCACCTGGAAGAATCATATTTTCATGAACATCTTGACAATCACATACGACGGGACACCTGGACACTGAAGCCCCACCGCTCTCACCTGTTGGGCGGTCTTGTTTCCCAGCTGGGCGGAGACCCGCCTGAATGTTTTACGATTGGCTCCTCTCTGCTGACACGCTGTCAGGATGGCGCGGTCCACCTCGCTGCAGGAAGAGGTCAAAGGTCAGAGTTAAACTAAAAGCACTCTCAGTCCTGTTGTCACAGCGAACAGAGAACGGAGATTTGTCCCGTAAATGGATGTGTTGATGTAGGACACACTTGTACATACATACTCTACATGTACATTGAGATGCTGTTATTTCCGTCTTCACTTGTAGAAGCAATGTTAAACAGAGACACAATCAATAAAGGCAGATGTTCATTCCAGTTACACGATGTAAGCAAAGGACAAGTATTGATTATGTGTTATGGATCACTGATAATTAGCGTGTTAATCAATGCAAATATAGTGGCTGAGATTAATGAGGAAACCAACCACCGCTAGCTGCAGTCATTGTTAAGGAACTCTGAGAGTGGAGTACTTACTGTTACTTTTTTTTGTATTTTATATATTACGGCAGTTGGTGCATTTTCGGTTGGGCTTTTATTTTGACGGCAGGAAAACCGGAAGTGTGTAGTTAGAAGCGGGAGGAAAACTAAAGACGCTAAAGGTGAGAAGCTAATCAGTGTCCATATTTATTTTTCCTCTTAGATCATACGGTGTGTTCAGTTTAAGACTCCAGACCGATATTGAGGCGGGACGCTACAACCATGTAGGGTGGAGAGAGCGTAAAACAGACAGCGGTGCAGAGGAATTACCGGGAACCGCAGGGTTAGGGGTTCGAACCCCGGCTGCTCCGGCACTTGGTGGAGAGCTGAGAGCACATTGTCTAAAATACACGCTTTCTAAAGTCATTACTTGTTTTTCTCACCGCGTCCACACAACCACTTTCTCTCCCGTCGATGTCAGCAACATGTTTTTGGCGCCGACCGGTCGCTCTGCCTCCACAGGCATCCGATGCTCGATTCTCTTCCTGTGGCGGCGCAGAGGAGCATTCTGGGACACGTAATCCGTCTCTGAGCCGTGAAGCTGCCGGAAAAACGCCCAGAATTCCCGGTGCAGGTCGGCGTGTTGTCCGAGGAGCGACGAAATCTGAGAGCAAATTGGATTCAGTAACCACTTATGTTCATTGAGTTCAAACTTAACGTTCCTCCGCCCCCTCACCTGGACCATGGCCTCAGGTGAGGGGGCGGAGCTTCCCTGCAGCACCGACACCAACTGCTGGAACTGATCTGAGCTTTCTCCAAGGCTCCGCCCCAGTAGCCGCAAAAACCTCCGGCTGCGTTCAAACAGTCGCTGCTCCGTCAGCTGCAGAACAAACAGAAGAAGAGTGAAGGCCTGCAGGGCGCTGCGATGTGCAGCGATGTCAAAGTCACGTCACGGACCAGCCCGCAGCAGCGAGCCTGCCCTCGGTTCAGGAAGGCAGCGAAGTCTCTGAGCAGCTGAGGCCACGGGTGAAGGACACGGCTCAGTCCGCCGTAGAGGCGCTCTGCCGAGGACGAGCAGCAATCAAACACCTGCAGCAGCTGCTCCAACGCGCCGGGGCGAACCTGCACCGCCTCACACACCTGCACAGGTAACAGGAAGTGAGGACAAGCGAAAAGAAACATACACACAAAGGTCATTAAAACCGGTCTCACTCGAAGCAGATAGTCCTCAGCAAACACCTCGTCTTCCTCGGTCCGCTTCTGGTCCTCTTCATCCTCTGAGGCCTCCTGCAGGCACAGACACACACTGTCACCGACATCCTAAATCTGTTTGAGGTATGAAATCGTATTCATTCAGACCTGCAGCAGAAGGAAGGACTCATCTGAGGACGTCTCTCCATCATCATCGCTATTTGCTGCACATGGCGTCCGTGTCACTTCCTGTTCCTTCTCTGACTCCGCCTCCTCTGGGTTAGTGGAGAGTTCACTTCCTGTTGAGCTGTGTGATGATTCAGAGAGAACCAGGAGGACATCAGTGTGTTCCTCAGCCTCCTCTTCATTTTTCGTGCTTATGACATCGCTCTCCTGCCCCACACCCTGAGGGGGGGCGTGGCCTTCAGGAGGAGTTGTTACAGCCTCAACGCCCCCGCTGGCTTCTCTCCCGTTCAGTTCTTCAGCAGGTAGAACAGACTTCCTCCTCAGGCTGGTAAGGGTCTGAGAGTGACCTCTGATTCGCTCTCTGATCGTCATGGTGACTGGTGAGGCAGTGACAATGACATCAGGGGCATCAGTCCTGCTAAGGAGGAGGCGGCGGAGGAGGATTCCATGACTGGGCGCTCGGGGAGGGGAGGAGCCAACCTTTGGGTCAGGGACAGGGGAGGACCATACCCGTTGGTCAGTGAGGGGGGTCGAGTCAGGAAGAGAGGCGGGAGGGGGAGTTCGGGGGAGGGGTTGCTGCAGGACAAAGCCGATGCGCCGGAAGTCAAGGTTTTTGGGGAGGCGGGGGGGGTAACTGGTCCCTGGGGGGAAGCTGTAGGTGTCAGAGGAAGCGCGGCGGAGGGTCAGGTGAGTCTGGCAGGAGGGCGGGGCATTGGAGGCGGAGCCAGACTGGCTGTTATTGTCTTTGATGGAGGTAAAGATGGCAGGAAGGCTTCTCTGTGAACGGGAAGCCTTTATTAATACTATTGTTATTGTTTTTAAAATTTGACATTATGATTCTATTTTGAAATTATGGTTTTAATTGTGGTAAGTTTTATTTTGAAATGGTACATCATTGTTTTTTTTGAAATGATGCTACACAGGAAGTGATGTACCATCAGCCACAGGGGCATGGCCTCTTCCTCTCTCTCAACTGGGGGGCGCTGCTCCCTCGGGTCCACCTGCCGGCAGGCCACCAGCATCGGCCACACAACCCGCTGATACCTGAAGGCCTGCAGAGCACATCGGGTCACACAGAGTCCAGCAGAGACCAGTACCAGCAGCTCTATGTCAGCGTTACCTTGACGATGTTGTCGGGGGAACCAGGTCTGCAGCACTGCAGTATTCTCCGTCGGACCTGGACCAAAGTCTTCCTTAGCAGGAACTGAGAGACCAGCTTTGTCGGGTCACATGACCCCTCCATGTTCCTCAGGCCGAGAACCAAGAGGCTGACACACACAAACACACACATCTTAGAGCTTAGCTTCCTCCGTGCGACGGTTTCTGTTGGGATACCCGGAGGTCTTTCTCGTGAGCTCATGAACATCCCGGTAACAACCAGCGAAGTTACTAACTTTTCTTCTTTCCTCTGTGGAATTACTGGACATTCTAGTCGAAGGTGCGCTCACCTTTACTCACGCGGTGAGGCGCCATAGGAGCAGAAAATGGGTCGGCTCGTTAGTGCGACTCCGCAAGCGCTGCAGATTTGAGCCCATCAGGGGCTCACGCCTCTGTGTCACCCTGCCCTCCCCCACCAGCAACAACCCTCTCTATTCTGGAGAGAGACGTAAACGGGATCTTTAAAAGACAAAACCCTCGCAAAGGAGCCAGTCCGGACTCTGTTTCCCTCACACCCTGAAGCATTGTGCTGACCAGCTGTCTCCGGTGTTCACTGACATCTTCAACACCTCCCTGGAGACATGCCACGTCCCAGCCTGCTTCAAGGCCTCCACCATCATCCCTGTCCCCAAGAAGCCCAGGATCACAGGACTCAATGACTACAGGCCCGTCGCCCTGACCTCTGTAGTCATGAAGTCTTCTGAACAGCTAGTCCTGACCCACCTGAAGTCCCTCACCGACCCCCTGCAGTTCATCTGTAGATGGGTCCTCAGGGTTCCATCCTGGGTCCCCTCCTCTTCTCTCTCTACACCAACTCTCTCGGCTCTGTCATTCGCCCACATGGCTTCTCCTACCACAGCTACGCCGATGACACCAACTAATTCTCTCCTTCCCTCACTCGGATCTCTGCCTGTCTGACTGACGTCTCTCAGTGGATGTAGATACACGCTATACAACATCAGGAGAACACGTCCTCTTCTCACTCAGAAGCAGGTACTGATTCAGGCTCTTTTCATCTCCCTCCTGGACTACTGTAACTCTCTCCTGCTGGTCTCCTGCTACCACCATTCCACCTCTGCAGCTCATCCAGAATGCAGCAGCTCCACTGGTCTTTTACCTTCCTAAGTTCTCCCTCACTCCTCCACTCCTCCGCTCTCTTCACTGGTACCGGTGGCTCATCCAGTTCTAAACATGGTGCTCACGTACCATGCTGTGAATGGATGGGGTTCAGCTTACATCCAGGACCTGGTCCAACCCGACGTGGATCACAGACTTCCTGTCTGACAGGAAGCAGCACGTGAAGCTGGGGAAACATGTCTCAGCCTCTCGGACCATCAGCACCGGTTCCCCCCAAGGCTGCGTTCTTTCCCCTCTGCTCTTCTCCCTGTACACCAACAGCTGCACCATCAGCTACCAGTCCGTCAAGCTCCTGAAGTTTGCGGATGACACCACCCTCATTGGACTAATCTCTGGTGGGGACGAGTCCGCCTACAGGTGGAGTCTGACCATCTGGTGTCGTGGTGCAGTCAGAACAACCTGGAGCTCAACGCTCTAAAGACAGTGGAGATGGTTGTGGACTTCAGGAGGAACAGAGCCCCACCCTCCCCCATCACCCTGTGTGACTCCCCCGTCACTATTGTGGATTCCTTCCGTTTCCTGGGCTCCATCATCACCCAGGACCTCAAGTGGGATCTGAACATCAGCTCCATCACCAAGAAGGCTCAGCAGAGGTTGTTCTTCCTGAGGCAGCTGAAGAAACTCAACCTGCCAAAGACGATGATGGTCCACTTCTACACGGCCATCATGGAGTCCATCCTCTGCTCCTCCATCAGCGTCTGGTACGCTGCAGCCACAGCCAAGGACAAGGGCAGGCTGCAGCGTGTCCTCCGCTCTGCAGAGAGGCTGATCGGCTGCAACCTGCCGTCCCTGCAGGACTTGTTCGCTTCCAGGTCTCTGAAGCAGCTAAAAAGATGGTGGCCGACCCCTCTCACCCCGGACAAAACCTGTTTGTGCCCCTTCCATCTGGGAGGAGGCTGAGGTCCATCAGGACTACGACCTCCCGCCACACCAACAGTTTCTTCCCGTCGGCAGTCGGGCTCATTAACAGAGCCGGTCCCCCACTGACTGACTATAACATCCCACCGGTCACTTTCACTTGTCACTCGCTGGTGCACTATATTTTGATCTTTTTATCCTTTATTTTTAAATTGTTTATTCTATATCCCATAGCCTTATATTTTATACCGTGAAGTCAAATTGTAAATGTCTTGTCTTACTGTCTGATGTTATGCTCCAACCGCCAAATCAAATCACATTCCTTGTATGTCTGACATATTTTGGTAATAGATGTTCCTGATCAATACATCTATGCTGCTGTCAGTCACTAGTGTGTGTGCGTGCATGCGTGCGAGTACCAGTCCTCAGCAGCAGTGAAAGCAGCCGTCCTGCGGGGGCAGTAGAGGTCTGGGTCCAGGCTGGCACAGGGCAACAGCTCTGGGTACAGGAAGACCGGACGGGTGGCAAAAAGCCACGAGAGTTCAGCAGGAAGAACAGGGAAACGCCGCACTACACACAGATACACAACATCTCCTTTCACATGGTCATCGTCATAGCGATTGGGACTAGATGGAGCATGAGACAATGTGGTTTGGGACCACGTGAAGGTGGACAGGTGGACTCACGGTTTCCTCTGCAGTCTGGCGGGTGGAGCTGCTGCTGGTAGGTGATGGGGTTCTTCTGAAGCTCCTCCAGTAGCTGCAGAGCTCCCTGCAGGTTAGGGGCTCTGAAGACGCTGCAGAACCCAAGACGTCCCGAAGACATCAGCAGCTGACCCCTCTGAGCTAACAGCTCCAACTCAAACTGAGGAGAGAGACCGGGTCAGCCAATCAGATCGCACTGTGAGCCTGATGTGTGTGTGTGTGTGTGTGTGTGTTACCAGGAACTGTTTGGTGGTCTCAGCCTCACTCTGCAATTTGGCCACAGGTGAACTCAGCAGGTGAATCTGAGTCAGCAGCTGGACGTGCTGAGTGACAGAAGAGAGACAATCAGTGTCCACCTTCAATAAACACCTACCGTTATACCAGTGGGGCACCGCCTGAAATTAACCCCCACCCTCCTAAAACAGTCCGGAATTACACATTAAAATAAGAATTGCACAGGCATGTGCTCGCAATAGAAACTAGGAGGAAGAACCAACCTGCTGAAGCTGCTGCTGCAGGCGGCTCCTCTGTGGTCCACTCAGCCTCAGACAGTGTGGTTCTGGGTTGTGTGTCGGCAGCCCGAGGTCTCGCCTCTTTCTCATCAGCGCAATCTGCTGCTTCACCGTACGCAGCTCTGTGATTGGTTCCTCCTCCTCTACTGGACCTCTGTGATGAGGGCAGAAGGTCGGAGGGTCTCGGTGAGGTCTCAGTGTGAGTCTCTGTGTGGGTCTCTGCGAGGGTCTGTGGGGGTCTCAGTGAGGGTCTCGGTGGGGGTCTCTGTGTGGGGGTCTGTGTGGGGGTCAGTGAGGGTCT